GCTTCAGCAAGAACCAATGGGGTTCATTCTCGTGTTAAGCAGCACGTTTGAGCGTCTGCAAGAACCAATGAGGTTCATTCTCGTGTTACGCAGCACGTTTGAGCTTCAGCAAGAACCAATGAGGTCCATTCTCGTGTTACGCAGCACGTTTGAGCGTCTGCAAGAACCAATGAGGTTCATTCTCGTGTTACGCTGCACGTTTGAGCTTCAGCAAGAACCAATGGGGTTCATTCTCGTGTTACGCAGCACGTTTGAGCGTCTGCAAGAACCAATGAGGTCCATTCTCGTGTTGCGCAGCACGTTTGAGCTTCAGCAAGAACCAATGAGGTCCATTCTCGTGTTACGCAGCACGTTTGAGCGTCTGCAAGAACCAATGAGGTTCATTCTCGTGTTACGCATCACGTTTGAGCTTCAGCAAGAACCAATGAGGTCCATTCTCGTGTTACGCAGCACGTTTGAGCTTCAAAAAGAACCAATGAGGTCCATTCTCATGTTACGCAGCACGTTTGAGCTTCAGCAAGAACCAATGGGGTTCATTCTCGTGTTACGCATCACGTTTGAACTTCAGCAAGAACCAATGAGGTTCATTCTCGTGTTACGCAGCACGTTTGAGCTTCAGCAAGAACCAATGAGGTCCATTCTCATGTTACGCAGCACGTTTGAGCTTCAGCGAGAACCAATGAGGTTCATTCTCGTGTTACGCAGCACGTATGAGCTTCAGCGAGAACCAATGAGGTCCATTCTCGTGTTACGCAGCACGTTTGAGCTTCAGCGAGAACCATTGAGGTTCATTCTCGTGTTACGCAGCATGTTTGAGCTTCAGCAAGAACCAATGAGGTCCATTCTCGTGTTACGCAGTACGTTTGAGCTTCAGCAAGAACCAATGAGGTCCATTCTCGTGTTACGCAGCACGTTTGAGCTTCAGCAAGAACCAATGAGGTTCATTCTCGTGTTACGCATCACGTTTGAGCTTCAGCAAGAACCAATGAGGTCCATTCTCGTGTTACGCAGCACGTTTGAGCTTCAGCAAGAACCAATGAGGTCCATTCTCGTGTTACGCAGTACGTTTGAGCTTCAGCAAGAACCAATGAGGTCCATTCTCGTGTTACGCATCACTTTTGAGCTTCAGCAAGAACCAATGAGGTCCATTCTCGTGTTACGCAGCACGTTTGAGCTTCAGCAAGAACCAATGAGGTTCATTCTCGTGTTACGCAGTACGTTTGAGCTTCAGCAAGAACCAATGAGGTTCATTCTCGTGTTACGCATCACGTTTGAGCTTCAGCAAGAACCAATGAGGTCCATTCTCGTGTTACGCAGTACGTTTGAGCTTCAGCAAGAACCAATGAGGTCCATTCTCGTGTTACGCAGCACGTTTGAGCTTCAGCAAGAACCAATGAGGTCCATTCTCGTGTTACGCAGTACGTTTGAGCTTCAGCAAGAACCAATGAGGTCCATTCTCGTGTTACGCAGCACGTTTGAGCTTCAGCAAGAACCAATGAGGTTCATTCTCGTGTTACGCAGCACGTTTGATCTTCAGCAAGAACCAATGAGGTCCATTCTCGTGTTACGCAGTACGTTTGAGCTTCAGCAAGAACCAATGAGGTCCATTCTCGTGTTACGCAGCACGTTTGAGCTTCAGCAAGAACCAATGAGGTCCATTCTCGTGTTACGCAGTACGTTTGAGCTTCAGCAAGAACCAATGAGGTCCATTCTCGTGTTACGCAGTACGTTTGAGCTTCAGCAAGAACCAATGAGGTCCATTCTCGTGTTACGCAGCACGTTTGAGCTTCAGCAAGAACCAATGAGGTCCATTCTCGTGTTACGCAGAACGTTTGAGCTTCAGCAAGAACCAATGAGGTTCATTCTCGTGTTACGCAGCACGTTTGATCTTCAGCAAGAACCAATGAGGTCCATTCTCGTGTTACGCAGTACGTTTGAGCTTCAGCAAGAACCAATGAGGTCCATTCTCGTGTTACGCAGCACGTTTGAGCTTCAGCAAGAACCAATGAGGTCCATTCTCGTGTTACGCAGTACGTTTGAGCTTCAGCAAGAACCAATGAGGTCCATTCTCGTGTTACGCAGCACGTTTGAGCTTCAGCAAGAACCAATGAGGTCCATTCTCGTGTTACGCAGTACGTTTGAGCTTCAGCAAGAACCAATGAGGTTCATTCTCGTGTTACGCAGCACGTTTGATCTACAGCAAGAACCAATGAGGTCCATTCTCGTGTTACGCAGCACGTTTGAGCTTCAGCAAGAACCAATGAGGTTCATTCTCGTGTTACGCAGCACGTTTGAGCTTCAGCAAGAACCAATGAGGTCCATTCTCGTGTTACGCAGCACGTTTGAGCTTCAGCAAGAACCAATGAGGTTCATTCTCGTGTTACGCAGCACGTTTGAGCTTCAGCAAGAACCAATGAGGTCCATTCTCGTGTTACGCAGCACGTTTGAGCTTCAGCAAGAACCAATGAGGTTCATTCTCGTGTTACGCAGCACGTTTGATCTACAGCAAGAACCAATGAGGTCCATTCTCGTGTTACGCAGTACGTTTGAGCTTCAGCAAGAACCAATGAGGTCCATTCTCGTGTTACGCAGTACGTTTGAGCTTCAGCAAGAACCAATGAGGTTCATTCTCGTGTTACGCAGCACGTTTGAGCTTCAGCAAGAACCAATGAGGTCCATTCTCGTGTTACGCAGTACGTTTGAGCTTCAGCAAGAACCAATGAGGTTCATTCTCGTGTTACGCAGCACGTTTGAGCTTCAGCAAGAACCAATGAGGTCCATTCTCGTGTTACGCAGTACGTTTGAGCTTCAGCAAGAACCAATGAGGTTCATTCTCGTGTTACGCAGCACGTTTGAGCTTCAGCAAGAACCAATGAGGTCCATTCTCGTGTTACGCAGCACGTTTGAGCTTCAGCAAGAACCAATGAGGTTCATTCTCGTGTTACGCAGCACGTTTGATCTTCAGCAAGAACCAATGAGGTTCATTCTCGTGTTACGCAGCACGTTTGATCTACAGCAAGAACCAATGAGGTCCATTCTCGTGTTACGCAGTACGTTTGAGCTTCAGCAAGAACCAATGAGGTCCATTCTCGTGTTACGCAGCACGTTTGTGCTTCAGCAAGAACCAATGAGGTTCATTCTCGTGTTACGCATCACGTTTGAGCTTCAGCAAGAACCAATGAGGTTCATTCTCGTGTTACGCATCACCTTTGAGCTTCAGCAAGAACCAATGAGGTTCATTCTCGTGTTACACAGCACGTTTGAGCTTCAGCAAGAACCAATGAGATTCATTCTCGTGTTACGCATCATGTTTGAGCTTCAGCGAGAAGCAATGAGGTTCATTCTCGTGTTACGCAGTACGTTTGAGCTTCAGCGAGAACCAATGAGGTTCATTCTCGTGTTACGCAGTACGTTTGAGCTTCAGCGAGAACCAATGAGGTTCATTCTCGTGTTACGCATCACGTTTGAGCTTCAGCGAGAACCAATGAGGTTTATTCTCGTGTTACGCATCACGTTTGAGCTTCAGCAAGAACCAATGAGGTTTATTCTCGTGTTACGCATCACGTTTGAGCTTCAGCAAGAACCAATGAGGTTCATTCTCGTGTTACGCAGCAAATTTGAGCTTCAGCAAGAACCAATGAGGTTAATTCTCGTGTTACGCATCACGTTTGAGCTTCAGCAAGAACCAATGAGGTTTATTCTCGTGTTACGCATCACGTTTGAGCTTCAGCAAGAACCAATGAGGTTCATTCTCGTGTTACGCATCACGTTTGAGCTTCAGCAAGAACCAATGAGGTTCATTCTCGTGTTACGCATCACGTTTGAGCTTCAGCAAGAACCAATGAGGTTCATTCTCGTGTTACGCAGTACGTTTGAGCTTCAGCAAGAACCAATGAGCTTCATTCTCGTGTTACGCAGCACGTTTGAGCTTCAGCAAGAACCAATGAGGTTCATTCTCGTGTTACGCATCACGTTTGAGCTTCAGCAAGAACCAATGAGGTTCATTCTCGTGTTACACAGCACGTTTGAGCTTCAGCAAGAACCAATGAGGTTCATTCTCGTGTTACACAGCACGTTTGAGCTTCAGCAAGAACCAATGAGGTTCATTCTCGTGTTACGCATCACGTTTGAGCTTCAGCAAGAACCAATGAGGTTCATTCTCGTGTTACACAGCACGTTTGAGCTTCAGCGAGAACCAATGAGGTTCATTCTCGTGTTACACAGCACGTTTGAGCTTCAGCGAGAACCAATGAGGTTAATTCTCGTGTTACGCAGTACGTTTGAACTTCAGCAAGAACCAATGAGGTTCATTCTCGTGTTACGCATCACGTTTGAGCTTCAGCAAGAACCAATGAGGTTCATTCTGGTGTTACGCATCACGTTTGAGCTTCAGCAAGAACCAATGAGGTCCATTATCGTGTTACGCATCACGTTTGAGCTTCAGAAAGAACCAATGAGGTTCATTCTCGTGTTATGCATCACGTTTGAGCTTCAGCAAGAACCAATGAGGTTCATTCTCGTGTTACGCATCACGTTTGAGCTTCAGCAAGAACCAATGAGGTCCATTCTCGTGTTACGCATCACGTTTGAGCTTCAGAAAGAACCAATGAGGTTCATTCTCGTGTTACGCATCACGTTTGAGCTTCAGCAAGAACCAATGAGGTCCATTCTCGTGTTACGCATCACGTTTGAGCTTCAGAAAGAACCAATGAGGTTCATTCTCGTGTTACGCATCACGTTTGAGCTTCAGCAAGAACCAATGAGGTTCATTCTCGTGTTACGCAGCACGTTTGACCTTCTGCAAGAACCAAAGAGGTTCATTCTCGTGTTACGCAGCACATTTGAGCTTCAGCAAGAACCAATGAGGTTCATTCTTGTGTTACACAGCACGTTTGAGCTTCAGCAAGAACCAATGAGGTTTGTTCTTGCATGTCAAGCAGGTGCAGTTAAGCTTCGGTTTATGTTCGCTGATCAATATTTTTATCTCTCTTTATCTTCAGTACCGCTATGCCACACTTATCCAGCCGTCTGAGTTTGGAGGAGAGCCGTGTCATGATCACGGCAGAGAGGAGGAATCCTGCACTGCTCCATCACGATACTCCTGCCAGAAACCCACTCCTCCATGCCAAGGCTTCCGTTGTACTACCACAGGTGACCCTCACATCACCATAGTCCCTGGGCATTGCAAATAACTAATATATATACAGGGCCTAAACTCACTTTTTGCCACACCTGCCAATCGCCATTTACTGCAGAAAATGTACCAGCCATAAATATTTTTAACCAGCCATGAAACTGTTTTTGCGAAAAAGAGGCAGTTTTGAAACCAAAATTTCCAGTGAAAATTCTACGTTTTTAGGTACAGAAAATTGAATAAAGTAGGCAAATCAAATGTAAAATAACACGGCATATTCACTGTATAAATTAAACATAGATAAATCTTTATTAAAGTAACAAAAGTTATTCAGTCAAGAGCAGGGAGTGTTTTTAAACATTAAAAACTCAGACAGCAGCAGGTGTATATTAGGCTGCTTTAACTTTAAGAGCGAATGTACGGAACCAATATACTGATACATAGGCCTACTGTACATACGTTTTCTTTCTCAACTATTTACATTCAAGACATAACCAACTATGTTTACTAGGATACTCGCCGAGATAGACATTTATTTATCAATCCCAGAGATCCCAACGGGTTAGGGTTAATGGGAAGATCTCTGACTCTCATGATATTAGTACAGGAGCCCCTCAAGGGTGTGTGAGCTCCCCAGTTCTCTTCACATTGTATACAAACAGTTGTGGGAGGATTAATAGTAACAATTACATTGTGAAATTTAGTGACGATACTGCGATTCTTAGTTTGTTATATAAAGATCAAGACATTTTGCCTTACTGCTCTGAGATTAATCAGTTTTTAGAGTGGTGTGATGCTAACCACCTGATTGTAAATGTGAAGAAAACTGAAGAGATGATTTTTGATCCAAAATCAATTGGAAACCATAGCTCTATTTATATCCATGATGTTCCTATCACACAAGTGTCCTCCTATAAATATCTGGGTGTTTACATTGACTGTTCTCTTACGTGGCAGGCTCATATAGATACCTTGTGCACTCGGCTACAACAAAGACTGTATTTTTTGAGAAGGCTGAGACTTTATGGGGTCAGTAGCAGGATTATGATGTTGTTTTATCAGGCTGTATTGGAGAATGTGATATCTTATGGAATACATCTCTGGTACGGTAATTTAACAGTACATTTGAAAGCTAGGCTCGGACGTCTTACTCGAACGGCCATGAAGGTCATGGGCAGAACAGAACCCCTTTGTCTGCAGACTAGAGGATGACACGGGAGTGGATTTTCACTCCTGTCCCGTCCCACTCCCATAGAAAGAAATCTTGTCCCGTCCCACTCCCAGACCAAAGTTTAAAAAATAATCCCATCCCATCCCGCTCCTGGTAAATTGACTCCCACTCCCATCCCGCTCCTGTTTAAACTGACTCCCACTCCTGTACCGCTCCCATATATTGTTTTTCTTCAATTAGTGCTTAGTTAATACATAGAATTTGATTTAATCTGCTCTCCATCCTGTTTTAGACCAGCTGCTGAGCCCGTTTCTAGATTTTCTCCAGAAAATGGAAGACAGCAAATAAAAGAAAAACAGTACATAGTTCACACCATGTCTACAATAGTTTAATAAACCCAGACAGCACATAAAGCTGCATTTTACTCATTTATTGTTGAGTAAACAATACATTTATAGTTTACATTTATAGTTTTTTTTAATTACATGTTAAAAACTTACTTACTTACTTGACACCTGACGGCAATTTTCGCTTGATGAACGAAGCGATGCTTGGCTGATTATTTCCCGAATTTGCCTTGCAAGTGTGCCTCTTCAGACCGCTCGTCCCTGAATCACTTGCGTACTTGACTAAGACTAAGCATGTCTTACGAGCAGCGTACATCGTGCTATCACCGTCACATTCTACTCTCATAAACTTAATTAATATTTCAGACTTTCCGACCAGTTCTGTGAACTTAATAGACATGTCATTACTTCTGACTTTGCGCTGTAAATCATTTTCTGCCACATCGACTTCTCCGCGGCTGTTAGCTCCCTCCATCACTGCTCTTTGAATTCCGGCGGTAAGCCATGACAAAAAGCACCGATGGCTTCTGGGACGGCTGGGTCGAGTAGTTATTTTTTAATTGCGTTACATTGTAGGCGTATTAAAAGGAAACTACAAAATGGTGCATTTACTTTTTTCTTTTTTTGTCGTCTTTGCTATTGGTTGATTCCCGCTCCCGTCTGCTCCCGTTAACCATTTATCCTGTACCGTCCAAATCCCGTGATTAATAGCAAAGATGACTCCCATCCTGCAGGAATCCCACGGGAATCCCGTGACCCGTGGGATTCCCGAAAAAATGTCAGCCTCTACTGCAGACCCTATATGAAAAATCTATATTAAGGGAGGCAAATAAGATTATGTATGATACAACACATGTCCTGCACTCTGAGTTCGTAATGTTGCCATCGGGGAGAAGACTTAGAATGCCTAGTTGTAGACTAAACCGGTTTAAGAACTCATTCATTCCTTCAGCGGTTAAGTTATTAAATAATATCAAGTAGAAATAATAATTAATCTTGTACAGAGTGGCGTGATGCCGACTATTTTATAGTGGACAGAGTGGCGTGATGCCAATTAATTGTTAGTGTTCAGTGTGGCGTGATGCCGATTACTTTATAGTGGACAGAGTGGCGTGATGCCGATTACTTTATAGTGGACAGAGTGACGTGATGCCGATTACTTTATAGTGGACAGAGTGACGTGATGCCGATTACTTTATAGTGGACAGAGTGACGTGATGCCGATTACTTTATAGTGGACAGAGTGACGTGATGCCGATTACTTTATAGTGGACAGAGTGACGTGATGCCGATTACTTTATAGTGGACAGAGTGGCGTGATGCCGATTACTTTATAGTGGACAGAGTGACGTGATGCCGATTACTTTATAGTGGACAGAGTGACGTGATGCCGATTACTTTATAGTGGACAGAGTGACGTGATGCCGATTACTTTATAGTGGACAGAGTGACGTGATGCCGATTACTTTATAGTGGACAGAGTGACGTGATGCCGATTACTTTATAGTGGACAGAGTGACGTGATGCCGATTACTTTATAGTGGACAGAGTGACGTGTTGCCGATTACTTTATAGTGGACAGAGTGACGTGATGCCGATTACTTTATAGTGGACAGAGTGACGTGATGCCGATTACTTTATAGTGGACAGAGTGACGTGATGCCGATTACTTTATAGTGGACAGAGTGACGTGATGCCGATTACTTTATAGTGGACAGAGTGACGTGTTGCCGATTACTTTATAGTGGACAGAGTGACGTGATGCCGATTACTTTATAGTGGACAGAGTGACGTGATGCCGATTACTTTATAGTGGACAGAGTGGCGTGATGCCGATTACTTTATAGTGGACAGAGTGACGTGATGCCGATTACTTTATAGTGGACAGAGTGGCGTGATGCCGATTACTTTATAGTGGACAGAGTGACGTGATGCCGATTACTTTATAGTGGACAGAGTGGCGTGATGCCGATTACTTTATAGTGGACAGAGTGGCGTGATGCCGATTACTTTATAGTGGACAGAGTGGCGTGATGCCGATTACTTTATAGTGGACAGAGTGGCGTGATGCCGATTACTTTATAGTGGACAGAGTGACGTGATGCCGATTACTTTATAGTGGACAGAGTGGCGTGATGCCGATTACTTTATAGTGGACAGAGTGACGTGATGCCGATTACTTTATAGTGGACAGAGTGACGTGATGCCGATTACTTTATAGTGGACAGAGTGACGTGATGCCGATTACTTTATAGTGGACAGAGTGACGTGTTGCCGATTACTTTATAGTGGACAGAGTGACGTGATGCCGATTACTTTATAGTGGACAGAGTGACGTGATGCCGATTACTTTATAGTGGACAGAGTGGCGTGATGCCGATTACTTTATAGTGGACAGAGTGACGTGATGCCGATTACTTTATAGTGGACAGAGTGGCGTGATGCCGATTACTTTATAGTGGACAGAGTGACGTGATGCCGATTACTTTATAGTGGACAGAGTGGCGTGATGCCGATTACTTTATAGTGGACAGAGTGGCGTGATGCCGATTACTTTATAGTGGACAGAGTGGCGTGATGCCGATTACTTTATAGTGGACAGAGTGGCGTGATGCCGATTACTTTATAGTGGACAGAGTGACGTGATGCCGATTACTTTATAGTGGACAGAGTGGCGTGATGCCGATTACTTTATAGTGGATAGAGTGGCGTGATGCCAATTAATTCTTAGTGTACAGAGTAGTGTGATGCCGATTACTTTATAGTGGACAGAGTGGCGTGATGCCTATTAATTTTTAGCATACAGAGTGGCGTGATGCCGTTTGCGTCCCAGTGGAGGGAGAGAGTGATGAGATGCCAATCATTTTACAGTGGGTAGAATGGTGTGATGCCAAACATTTTTCCAGTGTTTAGTGGCAGTATGCCGGGTACCCTCTGGTGCACACAGTATTGTGAGGCCAAATACTTGATTTTAAATGTGTATTTCTCTGTTTTTTATGTATTGTGTTTGTTTTAAATGTCTGGTGCTGCAGTGCTTGTATTTGTGAGCCCAAAACAAATTTCCCTTTGGGGACAATAAAGTATACCATACCATACCATATTTTTTAACATAATTGTGTGTGTGTATTTATCCGTTCAAGCGCAAGAAGACGAGAAAGAGAGCTCAATTCAGTATTTGTGTGCTGTCTGAGACATGCGTGCTTCGGATATTTAAACTTTCCACACAGCACACGAGCAATGAATTGAATTACCTTTGGCTTCTTCTTGGGCTTGAATATTTTAATTGACAAGGCTTAAACTTTCGTGACAATGCAGCACAACATTGTATTGTTAGAATTCATAAAAATGTTACCGGCCAACTGGCGACGACACTTTTTCATATACTCGCCAAGACAGATTTTATATAAATATCTAGGCCCTGTATATATATATATATTCAAAAGTTTAGACTACAGTTCCACCATTAATGAATAACTACACAGAAATACAGGTTTAACATTAATAAGGTTACATTAAAACATGAGTTTATTGTTCATTAGTTGTTTCTAGAATGGTAATGCAGCATTACTCATTTGTTCCTGCAATGCAATAATTAAACAAAGGACACAAGTGTGACAGCTGTGTCTCGTGTAACAGGTCGCTGTGTGCTGGAGGGTCTTCGCTGTAATGGCGATGATGACTGTGGCGATGGTTCTGATGAACAGGGCTGTGTTAAAGTGTACAAAGCATGCAAACAGCCAACTGAGGAATATTATGGAATCGAGAATCTTGCCAAAGGGTGCGTGTGTTTAATACACTCCTGTACTCACCTATTCCTATTGCACTCACTTTTAAAAACTGCAGCTCACTGATGGATCTCGACTTTGTTATTGTTGTACAGGCCTGAATTTCCTTTATTCCTTTCTGGTTATGCCATGTTGACCTTTGGCAAGTTTTACCCTCATGTTTATAGTGCATCCTGTAGCATTGTGAGCAGAACAGACCAAAATTCAAATTGTTGAGTTTTGTATATATTGCAACCTCTTAATAGAATTTGCTGGTAAATCCGCAAAACACAACACAAGATTATTAAAAAAACAATGATTTAAAATCTATTTAAAGCAACAACAAAAAAATGAATTGCACATTATTACAAAGTCCACTTTTTAAATGTGTCCTTTACTACATTTTTGTTGCTCTTGTACTTGATGCCAAATGTAAAAACTGCCATAGATCAGAGATAACTTGTTCTTCATTCCTAGAATCAACATTTTGAATGGTAAACTGGAAGCAGTGGTGCTTGATAACCGATACTATGCTGGTGGCTGCGTGCCACATTTTATCCAGGATGTTCGCTTCAGGAAGCCATATAACATACAACAGTACACAATAGAGGTATGTTGCATGTTTTAAAATCTATAGCTGCAGTACGTAAGATTCGTGATGTGCTTTTTCAAAACATTGCTTTATGGAGTTTTGAAACCTTTACGAATCCTTGGTTTTGAGCGTAGCATTAAACTGGCCAAGTCATGTAATTACAGCAAACGATGCTTTGTAACGCCATACTGTCTCGAAATTCTGGTGGTTCAGTCTTAGAGCCGCGTTTCCACCGAAATTACCTGGAACAATTTGTCCAAGGAACTTTTTTCCCCCAAACCTGTTGCTTTCTGCGTTTCCACCACCGTCCAAAGTACCGTGAAGATAAGGCAAATTAGTCTGCCGATGTAGGAGGGTCACTGTCCTGCAGAGTTTAGTTCCACCTCAAGTCAAATACGCATGCCTGTTATTTTCAATCAATCCTGAAGGCATAGGTTAGATATTTCAGGTGTTATTGATTAGGGTTGGAGCTGAACTCTGCAGGACAGTGGCCCTTCAGGACTGGATTTGCCCATCCCTACTTTAAGTACTTCTTCAATAAAAGCTTTTCCAATTACACTAGTAACAAATAATGTCTGTTTCAGAACTTTGGGTTCTGTTTTTAACGAATGTGTGTGACATACACTGAACAAAATTATGAACGCAACACGTTTGTTTTGGCCCCAATTTTTCATTAGCTAAACTCAAAGATCTAAGACTTTTTTATGTACACAAAAGGCCTATTTCTCTCAAATATTGTTCATAAATCTGTGTTAGTGAGCACTTCTCATTTGCTGAGATGGTCCATCCACCTCACAGGTGTGGCATATATGCGAGATGACGATTAGACAGCATGATTATTGCACAGGTGTGCCTTAGGGTGGACACCATAAAAGGCCATTCTAAAATGTGCAGTTTTACTGTATTGAAAAAGAAAAAAAAAGTTGTTTGATTGTGGCCTGTGGGATGTTGGTCCACTCCTCTTCAATGGCTGTGCGAAATTGCTGGATATTGACAGGACCTGGAAAACACTGTCGTATACGCCGATCCAGAGCATCCCAAACATGCTCAATGGGTGACATGTCTGGTGAGTATGCTGGCCATGCAAGAACTGGGATGTTTTCAGCTTCCAGGAATTGTGTACAGATCCTTGCAACATGGGGCCATGCATTATCATGCTGCAACATGAGGTGATGGTCGTGGATGAATGGCACAACAATGGGCCTCAGGATCTCGTCACGGTATATCTGTGCATTCAAAATGCCATCAATAAAATTCACCGAGTAGCTGCTCTTTTTAAGGATGTCTATCAATGTAAGCAAATATCATTTGGTAATTACCCGTCTTTCGAATATCTGGGTATTGTGTTAAAAGGTGCTCCACGCATTTTACTTATCATTATTTACAGGCCTCCAAAATACTCTCCAGCCTTTGCTGAGGACTTTACAGAACTGTTATCAACAATTTCCTCAGAGTTTGACTGTTTTGCCATTGCTGGAGATTTTAACATTCACATAGATAATGCAGAAACCAATATGGCAAAAGAAATCAAAACTGTTTTAAAAACTTTTGACCTGATTCAGCATGTACATGGACCGATACACAATCGTGGACACACTCTAGATTTACTTATCAGTAAGGGTCTAAACATTTCATCGATTGTTATTAAGGATGTAGCACTGTCTGATCTTTTCTGTATTTTCTTTGATATGTTGATCTCTCCAGCCATTGAAGCTAGATCTGTGTCTGCCAAGAAGAGATGCTTAAATGAGAACACTAGTGTGCTATTTATGAAGGCTATATCTTTAACACCAAGCATATCTGCTGACTCTGTTGATTTTCTCCTTGATTCTTTTAACTCAAAAGTTAAAAGTGTAATTGATGATATTGCTCCTGTGAATGTCAGGAAGAAAAGTGGTAGACAAAAAGCACCTTGGAGAATCTCAACAGCACTGCAAAATATGAAAAGACAATGCAGAAAAACAGAGCGCATGTGGCGGAAGACAAAACTTGTAGTCCATTATAACATCTACAAAGACACCATCCATGCTTTCAATATGGAACTAGGCAAAGCTAGACAGACTTTCTTCTCAAATATTATAAACAGCAACTTAAACAACACACGCACTCTTTTTGTTACTGTAGAGAGACTGACAAACCCCTGCTCTCAGACAGCAAGTGCAGTGAGTTTGCTTCGTTCTTCTCCGAGAAAATCAATAATATCAGAAAGGTGATCAGCACATCCTTGAGTTGCGCTGGGGTCAGACAGATCAGACCACAACCTGAGAAAGCAGTTACTATGTCTGATTTTGAAGAAATTGATGGCAAAATTTTGGAAGAAACCGCACAGCACCTTAAAACATCAACCTGCGCCCTTGACACACTTCCCACATCTTTCTTCAAAAGTGTGTTAAACAGCTTAGAAGCAGATCTCCTAGAAGTGGTAAATGCCTCACTTATCTCTGGGAATTTTCCAAACTCCCTGAAAACTGCAGTTGTCAAGCCCCTCTTGAAAAAGAGCAATCTGAATAAGACCATCTTGAGCAATTATAGACCGATCTCAAATCTTCCTTTCATAGGCAAGATCATTGAAAAAGTTGTCTTCAATCAGCTGAACAAATTCTTAAGCTCGAACGGATACTTTGACAATTTTCAATCTGGTTTCAGATCGCATAACAGCACAGAGACAGCGCTCATAAAGATAATAAACGACATTCGCTTAAATACTGATACAGTCAAATTATCAGTGCTGGTACTACTCGACCTCAGTGCTACATTTGACACTGTCGATCACGACATACTTCTTGACAGGCTGGAAAACTGGGTGGGGCTTTCTGGGATAGTCCTAAAATGGTTCAGGTCATACTTGGAAGGGAGAGGTTATTATGTGAGTATAGGAGACCATAAGTCTGAATGGACGTCCATGACATGCGGAGTCCCTCAAGGCTCAATTCTTGCGCCACTCCTATTCAACCTGTATATGCTCCCAATGAGCCAAATAATGAGAAAGAACCGAATCTCTTACCACAGCTATGCAGACGACACACAGATCTACTTAGCCCTATCGCCTAAAGACTACAGCCCTATTGACTCCCTGTGCGAATGCATTGAGTAAGTAAACAATTGGATGTGCCAAAACTTTCTTCAGCTAAACAAAGACAAAACTGAAGTCATTGCGTTTGGCAACAAAGATGAAGTTCTCAAGGTGAATGCATACCTTGACGCTAGGGGTCTAACTACTAAAAATCAAGTCAGGAATCTCGGTGTGTCTCTAGAGTCAGATCTTAGTTTCAGTAGTCATGTCAAAGCAATTACTAAATCAGCATTCTATCATCTGAAAAATATTGCAAGAATTAGATGCTTTGTTTCCAGTCAAGACTTAGAGAAACTTGTGCATGCTTTCATCACCAGCAGGGTGGATTATTGTAATGGACTCCTCACTGGCCTTCCTAAAAAGACCATAAGACAGTTGCAGCTCATACAGAACGCTGCTGCCAGGATTCTGAGCAGAACCAGAAAATATGAACACATCACACCAGTCCTCAGGGCTTTACACTGGCTCCCAGTAACATTTAGGATTGATTTTAAAGTATTATTACTGGTATATAAATCATTTAATGGCCTAGGACCTCAATACATTGCAGATATGCTCACTGAATATAAACCCAACAGATCACTGTTACGGCTGTATACTTTGTATTGTGGTTTTGCCGTGTCTGGGTGTGTGTTGCTCCTCCTACAGGTGCGCTGCGGAGCTGAGGGAGTAATCAGGTGGATTGGGTGCACCGGTGCACAGGTGTGCCTGTCAATAAAAGCTTCCTGTTTGGCGTCCTCATGGAGCGTTCCATTCTGTCACATCGATCCCTGGCCAGGACCGAGATGTTGATCGGCGTTGCGGCGTATTGCGAGAGCTTGAGAGACAGTCTTTGTCATGAAGAAAGTGTAAAATAAAGAGAGTATTGTAACCGCCGTAAACGTTTCTTCCTCCTTCATTGTTGCTTCCTAGTAAGGGCGTAACATCACTCAGATCATTAGGATCACATCAGCTAGAAATACCAAGGGTTCACTCTAAGCAAGGAGAGTCTGCTTTTAGCTACTATGCCAGCCGCAGCTGGAACCAGCTTCCAGAGGAGATCAGATGTGCTCCTACAGTAGTCACATTCAAATCCAGACTCAAAACACTTCTGTTTAGCTGTGCATTTACTGAATGAGCACTGTGCCACTGTGTCTGACTGTTTGTACTGTATTTTCTTTTATATTGTATAAATGTGAGTGAACCATAGTGGCTGAAACTATCCCTTTGGTGCGGGCAAAGCAGTTTCTTCAAGGGGAAAATTATAATCTGAGGAAGTCAGGTAAATTTTCCGCAAAAACTGGCTCGTAGGTGCGGGCAGAGAAAGTTTTCAAGGAGAAAATTGTAACAAGTCAATTTTCTGAAAGTTAGCTCGCAGGTACTGATTCAGTAAGAACAAAGTCAAAACTGAATACAGAGCAATTTTTTGCTAACCTTGCCGATTTGAGGTTGCAAAAATCGGATCTGTTGAAGACGTTTAACAGATTATTAGACGTGCGTCGAAGGAAAATCCTGGGGAGATTTCAGCCAATATGGGGTCATCTAACAGTAAGCTAGCTAATTTTTAAACACCAGTATTCTAAACTGTATAAAAGTGAGTGAACTATAAGTGGCTGAGTCTATTTCTGTGGTGCGAGTACAAGATTTGTCCAAAATTAATTGAGACCTGAGAGCAGGTCAAGAGATTTCAAGCGGACACTGAGTTCTCGTGAAAATCTGGAATTAGTTGAGATCTGGGGCCAGATCGATCGATCGTGTGAAATTTCGATGAACTGTTCGATGAAATGTGCTATATAAATAAACTTGCCTTGCCTTGCCTTGCCACCTGTGTTCGTTGTCCATAACATACGCCTGCCCATACCATAACCCCACCGCCACCATGGGCCACTCGATCCACAATGTTGACATCAGCAAACCGCTCACCCACACGACGCCATACACACTGTCTGCCATCTGCCCAGTACAGTGAAAACCGGGATTCATCCGTGAAGAGAACCCCTCTCCAAAGTGCCAGACGCCATTGAATGTGAGCATTTGCCCACTCAAGTCGGTTACGACGATGAACTGCAGTAAGGTCGAGACCCCGATGAGAACGACGAGTATGGAGATGAGCTTCCCTGAGACAGTTTTTGACAGTTTGTGCAGAAATTGTTTGGTTATGCAAACCGATTGTTGCAGCAGCTGTTCGGGTGGCTGTAGGAGGTTCTAGGCTGGAGTGGTTACACGTGTCTGCGGTTGTGAGGACGGTTGGATGTACTACTAAATTCTCTGAAACGCCTTTGGAGACGGCTTATGGTAGAGAAATGAACATTCAATTCACGGGCAACAGCTCTGGTGGACATTCCTGCAGTCAGCATGAATGAATGTGTTTGGGATTTTCCACCCCGGACCCAAATACAGTAAAACTGCACATTTTAGAGTGGCCTTTTATTGTGGCCAGCCTAAGGCACACCTGTGCAATAATCATGCTGTCTAATCAGCATCTTGATATGCCACACCTGTGAGGTGGATGGATTTTCTCGGAAAAGGAGAAGTGCTCACTTACACAGATTTAGACAGATTTGTGAACAATATTTGAGAGAAATAGGCCTTTTGTGTACATAGAAAAAGTCTTAGATCTATGAGTTCAGCTCATGAAAAATGGGGGCAAAAACAGGAGTGTTGTGTTTATAATTTTGTTTAGTGTAATTTACTTTGTTCCCAGACAAAAGGCTCCTATGATTTCACGCTGGAGGCATACGAGTCTTACAATGAATACTCCAAGAGTGAAAGCAAGGCAACTTTATCCAAGACCAGCGTGTCATTTGGAATTGCTGTTCCTCAGGTGTTTGAATTCAGTTTTAGTTACAATGACCACAAATACAAAAAGTCAGTGAAGAAGATGCGCACCTTTTCAGGGACGGTAAGTTGTTTTTCTGTCACAAAGGTGAAGCTTCATTTGAACTATATTAACTAAATGTGTGAGATGACAACAGATAATAATAATAATAATTCATTACATTTATATAGCGCTTTTCTCAACACTCAAAGCGCTTTACATAGAAGGGGGAATCTCCTCAACCACCACTATGAAATCAGAAAATGGCCATTACTATGAAGAACAAAACATTAAACTAGATTTTTAAATTTTCTGGCTTGCATTTGCAGAAATCTTTTATGCTAAGGTGCTGTGGCTGGTTGCTAGAGCATTGCTTGGACGTTTTGAGTGGATGTTAGGTGGTTTCTTACTGTAGAGTTTAGCTCCAATCCTAATTAAAAACACAGCTAACAAAAACCAGCTAATTACGCTCTTGTTTTAGTTAAGCTTAAGTTGGAAATAAACTTTGCAGAATAGTGGATCAGGTCCTTCACTGTAAATATGTTGGATTTTTTACCAATTTTATTATCTGCCACTTAGTCTGGTCAGATAGAAATAAGCCACATGGTTTGAGACATATTTCATATATGTAGCAAAAACATTACAGGAGGAATAACAATAAAGTTCAGGGTTAGGGGTATGATTAGATTCCTTTATGTTCACCAAGTATAAATAATTGTAATAGTGATGCTGGTCTTAGCAGACACCACTAACTATGAGAAAATAGTTGGATATTAATAATATCAATAAAAGAAGAATGATAAGACAACATGAAATTCTTGACCAGACTGTGAAATCTATCATTTGGAGCAAACCATGACTTTATTCTGTGTTGTCCTCAGAAAAAAAAATTCATCCGAGCATACTCTGAGCTTGAGGTAGCTCGCTATGCTTTAAAGACCGCAAACCTGGTGCTACACCCTGAATTCCTGTCCCGCTTGCGCGCCCTGCCACTGGAATACACATATGGAGAATATCGCCAGATCTACAGTGACTATGGGACACATTTCATCAAAGAGGCAACTCTCGGTGGAGATTTTGAATATACTGTTGTCCTCAATGATGAGCGACTTGAAAAATCTGGTAGGTAAAAGTAAGGAAAAATATTATGTGATCAAAACAAGGACTACACTGTTATTCCAAAAGATAAGCCTACACTGAATCTAAGGGGTTTTCTTTTTTTATTATAGGATACACACTTGAAGAAACCAAGAAATGTGTCCAGGCTGGGCTGAAAATTGGAGCCCAAATTAAGAAAGTGTATGTGGGTGCAGGATTTTCAGGTGGTAGCTGCAAAGGCCTGTTGGAAGAGCTTGGAGGTGAGCAAATCCACAATTACACAGTTCAGATCAAATAACCTGAAACTTGAAGCAAGCATTTCTTTGCTTTTAAATCAATTTATCCAGCCTCAGCTTAATGTGCAGAGACTGCACCAGAGAACAGTGACACAACAAAGTTGAGAAAAGTTTATTTTAACTGCAAATTTCAGCAGCATCTGCCAATGGGAGTAAGGTCAGGAGTGCAACAAAATCCGTCTCTTGTAAAATAATCTTGTAATCCTTACAGTCAGAAATTACCCTACCCCTTTTTTTTATTGAATTACGGCTATTCACTGCAATGTGTTAGGTGCATGATGTGTTAGGCTGGCCACAACCTTGAAGATTTTTAGCCTGATTTGCACCCCCCAAGCAATCGGGGGTGTGGCCCAATTCGAGGCTTCTGGCAACTGACTTTTTGTCCAAAAAATCCTCAATTGTGTGGTGTCATTACAATTATTTGACTGCTCTTGATCAGGCTGCCTCTGACATGCCAATGTTTGCCAATGAGAGCGAGCAAGCTTCACCAACCAGCCATGAAAGAGTATTTGTTGAAAGTGGAGTTGACTGTAGTTTGACTTCTTTTAGAGTGGTGCAAGTAGGACCAGTTATATTGATGATTTGCCCTGGATGGGAGTGGGGGTTTAGGTGAGTGAATGTAATGCTGAGTGTAACCTGGGTGAGCGTGAAAAAGAAAACTGAAAGTCACATGTGAAGGCCAAGTAGAGTAACCCATACTCGGAATTTTTCCTCTGCATTTGACCCAACCAAAGTTAGAAAACACACATTAGGAGTAGTGAGTAGTGAACACACATACACCCAGAACAGTGGGCAGCCATTTTTGTTGTGGCGCCTGGGGAGCAATTTGGGGTTAGGAGCCTTGTTGAAGAGGACCTCAGTAATTTCCTGCCGGTATCGAGAATCGAACCTGCAACCTTTGGGTTACCAGTCTGGCTCTCTGACCACGAGGCTCCCCTGAATACCCTGACCAGCCCACGACTGGCCTCAAGGGGTGCAGCTTCTTTTTAGTGCACCAACCTACTCACTCATGCCGGTTGATGCGGGCTCAAATCCCACTCAGAGTGGTGTGTGTGAATTTAGAAATGCACTAGTTCAGCAAGAAACTGGAGTTATAAATAGCAATTCGCTGTATTGCATCTTTGAATGGAGATTCCCAGAAGGCTTGGTTTACATATCGGTTAAGTCGGTTGAAAATACTTTCCAGGGGAATCAAGGGGGCCCTCGATCGTCATCACCATTCACCCCTCTGGCCAGAGCCCTGCCTCCCGCTTTCAGCATCTCTTATCTTCTCTGATGATGTGTTTTCAGTCACAAGGGTGGGACAACCTGTCACTCACATAAAATTGCAGCAGTTGCGAACAACAATGATCCAATAATACAAACGATTCCTGATGGACAAAATCAAGTCTTCTTAAAGTTGTTCAAGAAGACGTTTCATTCGGATATACATCGCAATAAAGAAAAAAAAAGACTATAGCAACTTGTGTTTAATGTCAATTTTAAGATATCGTGACAACTCCACATAGACATGGTTGAATTCATAAGGAGTTTGAACACTATCAAAACAATTCTCTACTTGTGTTTAGAAAGCCTGTTTGGAAACAGTCATTAAATCCATTTGCTGCTTGTAGAGCAGATAATTAATGTTACTAATGTTTAATTAAACACCCTGTTTTGTTGTCTGACATTTCAGATTCCAGTAAAGAAAGGGACATGGTGGAAGATGTCTTTATTGAGGTCAGAGGGGGTGACAGTGAAACAGTGTCACGTCTAGCTGCAAAACAGCTACCAACTCCAGACATCATGCAGCTGTGGGGCGATGCCGTGTTCTACAATCCAGATTTTATTCACAAGAAGGTGACATTTTTCACTCAGTATACATTTCTTTACAAAGCCTCAACTTGTCAACTTAAATCTGAATATTTCTATATCGCTATAGACCAGACATTAAACTGTTGTCTTCAATTAACCAAAAATCGTATAAACCAATAATATACCAATAAATAAAATTTGTATGCAAAATTTTAACACTTTTCTTACATTCTTAGAATGCTAGATAGACTCCAACAACAAAAGCTTCTGCTCTTTGGGCAAAGCCTTTTACATTTGGCATTTACTTTTATATAAAGAAACCTTTCAGTGTACACATTTTACTGGTATCTGTGTTCCCTGGGAATAAAATCTATGACCTTGCTTGAACAGGTAAAGATCACTTTTGTGCATATTGGTATCTTATACAAAAGAGCTTCAAATGCTTCTTTAGACTGTGTCATCCCTGTTGAAAAGAGCAGAATGTCTGATCACCTGCATATGCTGTGTTTTGGAAAGCCAACATGTGATGCTGATGTTCAGTTTGTTTCCTTAATTAGTTTAGTCAGCAACTGTATCTTGGTCAAACTTCTATCTTGTCTGTTGCTTATTTTAGTAAGCTACTCGAACCTAAATTTTTACCTGAATCAGTTTCTATAAAGATCTCTTTACTTTTAAGTATGACAATTGTATACTTTATACAACACTGTCTGAGAGAAAAGAGCATTTTGCCACTGCTGCATTTCCCTGAGAAGGGTTTGATTATGAAGTGACTTCTGTACGCCGCCAAGTAGCATCAGCCGATATTTATTTCTGTGGTTCTATATGGGTGTCATGTAATCATCACACCTGGGAGGTGTTCCCCATAGAGTCAACTGCTGTTGCAGCATCTCGTTTTCAACTCAGGGAACTAGGGTTGCATTCTTAACCCTCGGGTTGTGTTCGGGTCATTTTGACCCGGAGAGGATATTCTAGTACCTGAAAATGCTACTTAATGTTATTGCATTGGACTAAATTTTCTGACTTTACTCACCCAGAGTCTTAAACAACTTCCCAAAAATATTTGTAATTTTTTGTGGGGGTTTTTTCCACATTGTAACACTTGTGGTGTTCCCGGTCAAAAATGAGAGGCCTACAAAAAATTGCTTATAAATTTCTCATTAGGCTACATCATCACCAAATATTGGATTCAATTTTTTTGCCAGCTTGTTTTCTTTCGATTAGGAATGGTTTTATATTTATTTTTGAAATTCATTGATTGTAGGTCTCACTGATCTTACATACCTCAGTTTTTTTGTGAAAAAAAGCGTTATTTGTGGATAATTTTGTCAGTTTCACATAAATTAAGAAAAAAATTGCACTGTTTATCACACTAGTGTGCTTTAATGTTTAACTAGGAAATTCGTTTTGAAATGCTTTTATTGGTCAAAAATGACTGCCCATTGAAAATGAATGGTGGAGTCGAAAATCAGAGAAACAATTAGTGTTCAGGAGTGTGTTTATCATGTTCACATATGTAGATATGTATACTCGTGCATCCACACACACACACACACACACACACACACACACACACATGTACACATACACACACACACACACACACACACATGTTGTGTTTTCATGTTTTATGGGGACTTTCCATAGACATAATGATTTTTATACTGTACAGACTGTATATTCTATTCCCTTACACTAACCCTATCCCTAAACCTACCCATCACAGGAAACATTCTGCATTTTTACATTTTCAAACAACATCACTTAGTATGATTTATAAGCTGATTTCCTCATGGGGACCAAAAAATGTCCCCACACGAACAAGGATTTCGGATATTGCCATCCTTGTGGGGACATTTTGTCCCCATAACGTAGGGTTTACCAGGCCACACATACACACACACACACACACACACACTATTTTGAGTATTACAGGCTTTCTTTACACAGAGATGAACTTTATTCTCAAATCAGTGAGGCTCAGATCAATGAGGCTTATGATCAATCGTTTCGAAAATAAAAACCTGTCTTAACTGAAAGAAAACAAGTTGACAAAAATATTGAATCCAATATTTGGTGATTAAATAGACGAGTGATTTGTAAGCTTTTTTGTAGGCCGGTCATTTTTGACCATGAACACCACAAGTGTGACTTTGTGCCATTTTGTACCAAAAAAAAAAACATTTCAAAACAAATGTATAGCTTAAACATGAGAGCTAACTAGTGTGATAAACAGTGCAAATTTATTTTCATATTTTATGTAAAATTTACAAAATTATCCACAAATTTTTCACTCAAAGACCAAAGTACATAAGCTCAGATAAACAAGACCTATGATTTATCAGTTCTAAAAATAAATACAAAACCTGTCCTAATCGAAAGAAAACATACTGACAAAAAGATTGAATCCAATATTTGGGGATGTAGCATAACGAGAGGTTTATAAGCAATTTTTTGCAGGCCAGTAATTTTTGACCGGAAACATCGCAAGTGTTACAGGGTTTTCAACACAGCCATTTGTCCTTGATTATTGATTTCACTTTTGCAAAATCCTGTAATGTTAAATGTAAACAATGTTTACAGATAGAACCACTTTATGAGTTGGTGCCATCACAAGAATCGAATGCTAACATCCTGAAGAAAAACCTGAGGAGAGCTCTGTCCGAGTACCTGAAGGAAATCAGCTCCTGTCGCTGCTCCCCCTGCCTCAATAATGGCATGGCGGTGCTCAAAGGTGAGAGGAATCAGACACCACTAATAATAACGTTATAAATAGTGTTGAGTGTTTTCCTATTATATTCATTCTTTTTTAGTAACATTTGAATGTTGGTAATTTTCATAAAAAAATAAAAACATTTCGAACAAAAGGCTGAGATCATGTTTTTTCAGACTTCTTCTGGATTGGATTCAGAGAAATTATTAAAACCAAAGACTATAGATATAGAAAGATGGTGCACTTATATTACAATGAATGTGTGAAAGTGCAACACGCAATATGTCCCGCCTTTTAAGTAAAAGAGCCAATCGCTGATTGGCAAAGTCATTACATCACTGCAGCTGCCGTTAGAAGCTCCGGTTCCCATAGAAACCTGAGACTCGCGCTTAAAACGGAACATGCGCAGTGGCTCGTCTTGCCTGAAAAGTAAGCTTTTTTACTGCTATTTGAGCATAAGAAACATCATTTATAGGACAATTCATGTCAGATTTTGTTGCTGAATTCTTTAACCGGCTGTCGGTGAACATGGCAAACTAACGATCAAAGACTTCTGATTTTAGCCTTGGATCAGAGGAATTTGCTAACTTTGTCTCAGACCGCCAAATCGTGGCCAAAATCGTACAGTGTGAACCAGTGGCGTAGGCACGAGGGGGCCTGGGTGGGCCTAGGCCCCCTCATTTACATGTCCGGCCCCCTCAGATTTCTGATTGCTTAAAAAAAATTAAAAATAAAAAACTTTAGGAGGCATGTGAATTAGCCTACACTGCGCAAACCAAAGTAATACTACCCACCGGATGAAGAAGCATTGGCTTTCAGTCTCCACAGTGCATCAAATATATTTTTTTTTTAATTATTTTTTTGCGTGTTCGCATTTATGTGGAAAAAACAATGTTACAGACGTGTTCTCCGTTACAGACGTGAGCGCTCTGAAAGCGGCACTAAAAAATGCTTTAAAACTTTCACTGAGACATCAAACAGAAAGCACAAAACCTTTCTTTAACCTGAATTTCGTTTTGAATTAATTGTATCTTAATTTGAATCAATGTTTCATCAACCAATTGTCTGGATTTAATAAATAAGAAGAAAATATAGCAGACGATAGATAAGAAACGTAGGCGCCGGCGCGTGAACTGGAGCTCGTCTCATAAATGAACCGAAACTCAGTGTATAAGGTAGCCTACTCGCCTCACAGACATGTCTACTTTTAAACAGAACAATTCAAAACGAAAGAAAACAGACTACAGACTGCTCTCTGCTTATGAAATCCGTATGAAATGTGCATTTCTCTCTGGCGCGTTCACTACTGAAGATCGCGAGTCAGCATCGTCAACTTCATCTTAGCCGACACTGACAAAGAAAACACTTGTTTTTTAATAAACAATTAAAATATCTCCTTGCTATATTTTACATATTTATAATCATTACTTTTGCCGGTTTTTTGTGACAGCTTTTAGGTGCTTTATTGGCAGCGCCGCCAATGTTATGAGTCGCCACCGCATCACCGCACCCACCAGAATAGGCCTGTATATATAAAATTCTGGCTATATATATATATATATATATGTTGCCCCCTCATTTAAAGACGGGACCCCCCAAAAATACAATTCTGGCTACGCCCTTGGTGTGAACCCAGATTTAAATCAGTGGTCAAATATCAATGCTGGAGTCTTAAGTCTTAAAAGACCAAATGTCCACTTCTGTAACGCCTCGCGGCTCGAGGTCTGAGCCTTTCGGCCGGTGTATAGACTTGAAATAAGCGTCACACTCGTTTCGACGGGGAATGAAGTCAGTATGCTGAAGCGTGCAGGACATTACAGTCTCATATGTGCTAGTTTGGAGCACTTCCAATTTATTTCTACAGTAGTAGTTCTACACACAAGAATGTGCAACGCATTCTCATCCCAAAGCGTAATATTTTGACTCTTTTGCCAAAGCGTCTATATCCAACGCATATGGCACCCTTTAGCGTCAATATAACACGCTTCGGTTTTGGGTAGGTTTAGGTCTGGGGTAGTGTTAGGGTTAGACCACTAGGAGGCGCCATATATCTGCGTCTCATACTGACGCTAAAGGGTGCCATGTGCGTTGGATATAGACGCTTTGGAAAAAGAGTCAGTATATTACGCCTTGGGATGAGAACGGGCTCGAATGTGTTATGGGAAACAACTATGACAGAATATGTCTTGTTGTGGTAACGAGGAATACAAATGCAAAAACTGACTCTGGATTGTTGAATTATTGAAACACAATTGAGAGGTAATGAGAGGTAATTATTGTTTTCACATAATTTGTAAATATTCTAAATATTACATATGTATGTAGTTCCTTTGATCCGTATGAGATGTGTAATAACTGTTTCTCTCGACAGGCACCAGGTGTATTTGTATTTGTCCAGCTGGTTTCAGAGGAGTGAGCTGTGAGATCACCCAACGAAAAGGTTTGTCTATCTATAAGAAAGCTAAGCTTTGGCCCTGTCTCAAACGCTGCACTTGATGTGGAGGCCCATTCGTTTCAAGAACTTTCCCATTTGTTCATTTGTGATTTAGAGGTTCTGATTGGGCTTGTATTAATGCCAGAGTATGACGTTTTCCTTAATAGAAATTGTACTCAAAAATATATTCAAATTCAGTTTTTAAAGTACTTTATTAGCATTTGATAGTGACAGTCAACTGACCACTATATCAAATTTAAGAGAAAAGGTACTAGAGGCCATGTTAAAATTGGTGTTTCAGGCACCGTGTGCAATAGAGTTACTATCAAAGTCTTTAGATATACAAAACCGATACACTCATATTACAATGAATGGGAGAAAGTGCAACACACAATATAGCAGAGTAAGTCCAGCCTTCTAAATAAAAGAGCCGCTGATTGATAAAGTCATTGCATCTCTGCAGCTACTACGTTTTAAAAATATTAAACATTGTTTTTAACAGATTAAAAATGAATATAGACTCTTACATAACAGAATATATATGCAAAAAAGAGAACAATTTGTCTTCTATTTCTCTTCTGCATTTCACCTCTGCTCTATAGTTTGCGTATTAAGCTAGTTTAGTGTAAACTTGGCATTGCGTAATATGAATATTGTTGGCTCTTATGACAAATTGCATGTTATTTATTTATTTTTTTTCATTTGTAAGTGACTTTGGAGGACTAAAGCTGTGCTAACTGAAAACACACACACACACACACCTAACTCATGCATGTGTCCTGTTATCCGCACACGCACAGCATCTGCAGTGGACGGCAGCTGGAGCTGCTGGTCTTCATGGTCCGCCTGCTCAAGGAGGAGCCAGCTCCGCACCCGCCAGTGTGACAATCCAGCCCCGCAGAACGGAGGAGCAGCGTGCCTCGGGTCCCAGGAGGAGTCAGCCGTCTGCCTCTAACATCTGTATCTCTCTATCTCTCGAGTTCACACACAATGAGATCGTTTTACATTTCCAGGGTTATCAGAAGCGGATAGTTGGGTAAACGTCTATAGTGCTGAACAGGAGATGACAGCAAATATCATTTTTGTATTTGCTTTAATAGCAAAAGAATGAAAAAAAAATCTGTGGTAGTGTTTCCATGCTTTTACTGATTACAGCATTCGCAGCATTTTCGTTTTCATTTACTGCCAAGGTAATATAACACAATACAGCATTATAAATGTGTATTACATTTTTTTTAAAGCAAAAATAACATTTGCAATGTTGATAAGTGGAAAGGCGTTATCACAGTCTGTGAAAAGGATCCATAGTATTAAAAAGACTTAACATAAAAACAATTACTTACACATTGTTGTAAAAACATTCCTTTCTGCCGAATATGGTGAGCCTACGTCAATAAATCAATTCCTTTGACCAGAGCTGTAATAATTGCTTGAAAAAAGTCATTCTTTCACTGATATTCTCTATATGTGTGAAACATGAAAATATGTCTGTATTATTCCCCAAAATTGTGAGTTTTGTCATGACAATTAAGTATATTCTCATTATTGTAATTTTTCAGATGTTTTGCTTTGGGGGAAATTTAGTGTTAAGAGATTAATGTTAATACAAAAACACACAAAAAAGTGGTACTTTACATTTTGTGAAGCACTTTTGCTGGTCTAGTGCATCTGGAAAGTATTCACAGCGCTTCACTTTTGCCACATTTTGTTATGTTACAACCTTATTCCAGAGTAAAATCATTATTTTCCTCTAAATTCTACAAACAATACCCCATAATTACAATGCGAAAGAAGTTGTTTGAAATCTTTGCAAATTAAAAATGAAAAAATCTCATGCACATAAGTATTCACACTTGCGCACATTGAAATTAGCCAGTGTAACGGTCCAGGGTTGCGTGTGTTGATGGACTGAATAAAGAAACTTCAACCCTCTTGCTGTTCAGCACTGTTTTTATTTTCTGCATAATTGTGAAATATAAGTTGCAAACATGTATTTTGTGACTTTCTCTGCATATAGTACCATTCGATGGCTTGTTGAGCCACGAGACAACCTCTGAACTGAGCGAGATATTTTATATATGAACGCACATTGAGTTAACCTGCTTACTATAAAGCTAACATAACACAAAATGGAACAAACACAACACGAAGGACTGTACACAAAATTAAAGCATACCTGCATACATGAAATATGTATTTTGTGGCTTTCTCTGCATATACAGTATGAATAGCCAAGTGTACATGCCATCAGAATGATCTTACTGTGGTTGCTACTAGCGAATATTCTGGTCTGTTGTTTCTAATTTTAAGATAATAATATGAATAATATATTATAACTGAATGATAAATAACCAACATACGAGTCAGAGGTTTGGACACATTCGACTGAATTTATTATGTTTCCTACATTCATGAAACATTAAACACAGACATGATGTTTTAGTCAAATTTAACTGATGTCATTTGTGTTCTTTGTATGTTTGAATTTGATCATTATCGAAATTTTGAAATGCAAGATGAAAAAAAATAAGGTTTGTGAGAAGTGTTTATGAGATTTGAAAGCAAGATATATATATATATATATCTTGCTTTCAAATCTCATAAACACTTCTCACAAACCTTATTACAACTGATCCCATACCATTTTTAGGTCAACTTTTCCCTAAAATGTAACAATAAAAAAAAAAAAAAAGTTGTCTGCCTTATGTTGATAGGACAGTATAGTGATAAACAATAGAAGAGGAGAAAGGGGAACATGATGGGCCACAAGCCGGCACTCAAAATCATTCATCTGACAAAAAAAGTAACATTTTTGAACTAAAAATTAAAGGTAAATCCAAATTAGTCATTCAAATTAGTGCTTGTCTTGCAACCAAAATGAACATCAATGGCAGACTCCATCTTTTATGCAGACAGAAGTGGTATTGTGTAAGAAAACTGTCAGATTCTTAACAACTTCTCTTCTGATTACTGCTTCCTTGACAAGCCAGACCACCGTCTTTAGGCGGGGGATTGTTGCACTCTCGTGTCCGTGTCTTTGCTCCCGACACACACGGGGACCAGGGGCTCCAGCAGCTCCAGACTCCATGTGTGGGACCTGTCAGAGGGAGTGTGTGCTCTGTGAACATCGTGCTCAGGTGGGACAGATCATATACACCAATAAAACCAATGTGAAAGGCATTTCAAGTGTGTAGTGCAGTGGGCCTGTCCCAACACTTGCGTTCTTGGCCACTCGAGAGTGTGTGCGAATGACAGAAAGTGCACAAGAAAACCTTACAGTGCAAGTCAAATTAGCTAGATTACATATAATTGGTTTGTAAAACATAAAGTGTTACAAATTTTATTGGTACAGAGATGAGTATGTGTAACTGCTTTTTACCACTTAATTAGATAAACCACAATTCAATTAGTTGTGTTGCAAAGTAACTACTGAACAGACATTAAGATGTTTTTTTTAAAGTGCAAAGTAGTGAATATCAAGTAGACATGTAAATAGACAAGTAGTCAAGTGCAAAGACCACAAGCGTGGCTATTGGAACACGCCTCATTTATAAGATGTGGCAAAGAAACTGTCCTACATTGATATTAACATAATTTCTTAAATGTACAGTACGATTCAGAGAACGAACATACGCAAAAAAAAAAAAAAAAATCTCTTTCGGATGTGAAGTTATAAATCGCAAATGCTGAATGGTTTATAGATCTCCGCCTTGTAAACGCTGCCTAATAAATGTCATTAAGTTATAAAAGAGCATCAGTCAACTTCTAAACACTTTACTTAAGAACGGCCAGCGGTAAAAATTGCTCAGATTTCCAAATACCTGCAGTTCTTCGTCTCTCTGCCACAAGGAAATGTCTGTACATCTGCTTAGATCCTGACGCACTTTTCCACGTCAAAAAAATGATATATATAAACGTTGGTTAGGATTCAATTACAGTTCAAATCTGTGCAAATGCATATTTTATAAATGTGAACCACAGTGTTTCCCAACCCTGTTCCTGGAAGCACAGAGTTAGGAAACACTGGGAAACCCAAGGTCGAGTCTGATTAGTCATAATAATAATAATAATAATAATAATACACTATGTATTATGTGCTTTTCTCATACCCAAAGCGCTAATGTCCCGATCCCACTTTTACTTCTACTTTTTACTTGAATTTGGCAGACTATATACGGCTAAACATCGCTGAAGAACTACATCACTGGGCAGAAACGTTATTATTTGCTTTCAACAAATTATGAGCTCTTCTAAAATCAAAGTAAACCAGGGCTTCACTGGGGAAGATTGCTTCAACACATTATGATTTTTTACCATGTATTTTTGTTAATATACATGAAACAAATGTTTCTAAGTGCATTTTTATAAATCACAAATCATCCTAAAATCATTCACATGTAAATGGGCACATCACTTCCACCTACAAAACAGCCATAAGTTTCCTTAAATGTTTTTTAGGGCAGATCCAGGACCAGAGCTGAGAAACACTGTAATAGAGTAACTTTGCATTATGGTTGAGCATAACTTGGACCCTCACAACTGATAAGGGCTGCACGATTCATTCCAGGAAATCCCTATGGGCATCATACTATCTGTAGCTGAATGAACAGAAGATTGAAACGCTTTGATTGATTAAACATGACTAATAAACACACAACTGCCTTATTCTGTGTAAGAAGCACATCATCTCCCAGAAGGATGAGCTCAGCTGTCGTTATGAAGTGAGTTTGGAGTAAAAGCATGTTATTAAATGTTGTCTTGTGTTGGACAAGAGGTTCAGAAATGCTTCTCATGTTTGGAAAGATGTTTGACGCGTGTTGATTTTTCAAAAGGACGTTATAAGCGACTCAAACTCATGCTTTCAGATGAAGCAGCGTTTACTACTGATCACTGAGCCGTACTTCACTGACAAGCTGCACAGAAAACATTATCACAGCCTTTGCCATTTCATAATCGCACTAAGCCAAAATGGTTTAAGCTCGATTTCATGTTAACTGCAGTTAATCATGCAGCCCTACAACAGCTATATTGTCATTTGTTGTATTCACAGAAGTTACATCACCCTCTACTGCAGGGATTCTCAACTTTACACTTTCAACAAGTCCACTTTTCTGCAGATTAAAGATTAAACACACCTGAAAAATAATCAAAGTCTTTAGGATTAGGCCTGGGACACAATAGAAGATTTTAAAACTGTGGGAGGCAACAGACATAAGGGGAGTTATGTCTGAGACCACACACCTGTCGATTGTAGTAACATTTCCACAGTGAGACGCGATCTCATGGAGACTGGAGGATGTAATCTACTTTATTCGGTGAAATCTACTTGAACTGAACTTGGACAGCAATCTCCTTACTGTTTGTTTTCATTAATTCTTTTGACATTTGTCATGTGAGGCAAAGAAAAGAAAAAATCTGTGTGAAAATTGAACTTTGTGTATGTTTTTTGTGTGAAAAATATTTTCCTAAATAACAATTTTTGACTCTAACCCTTCAATGTGAATGTGTGTCATTTAAGCCCCTATTCTATGTTATTGTGGGTATTGGAAGGCATTCATTTTGTGTATCGGTGCATGGTTTGAGCTATTTTCTGGGAAACTGAACATCATTACATATATTTTTTTAACTTGACAAGTTTTGACTTGTCTGGTGCCCGAACATTTTAAATTTAATTTACATTTATTAAATGATCAGATTTGATTTCGTACAGGAGGAATATCGACGTCGTCAGCTGGTTCTCCTGGCGTGAGTTTTGTTAAACAACGGAGGAAAAAAGGATGTGTGTGATCTTCTCTTTCAATACTACACTTTCGTGGCGTGTTTGTGGCAGCCAAGTTTTGTCTATAGAAGCTCGCAACATCTGGTTGGTGAAGCTCGCTCGCTCTCCTTGGCTATCATACGTAGGGCCGGCGCTAGCCATTTGGGTGCCCTAAGCACAAATGCTTGGTGGTGCCCCCCCACCCCACTCACCCCCTCACCCACCCAAGGAATAACAACCATTCAGAATTTCTTAGTCTGATGAAGCACAATATAATAATTCTGTACATAATTTGTAGGGCTGGGAAAAGATTAATCGCGATTAATCGCATCCAAAATAAAAGTTTGTGTCTACATGAATGATATATGTGTGTGTACTGTGTATAATTATTTTGTATATACACTACCGTTCAAAAGTTTGGGGTCGGTACGATTTTAAATACTTTTAAAAGAATTATCTTCTGCTAACCATGGCTGCGCTTATTTGATTAAAAATACAACAAAAATCAGTTATAGTATTAAATATTATTCCAGTGTAAATCAGCTGTTTTCTGTGTGAATATATAGTAAAGTGTAATTTATTCCTGTGATCAAAGCTGAATTTTCAGCATCACCAGTGTCAGTGTCTTCAGTGTCAAATGATCCTTCACAAATCAGTATAATATGAGGATTTGATGCTCAAGAAACATTTATTATTATTATCAAATGTTGAAACAGTTGTTGGTCTGTCAGTTGTACAGTTTTTTTTTTTTTTTTTAGGATTCTTTGATGAATAGGAAGTTCAAAAGACTTTTGTAACATTATAAATGTCTTTACTGTCACTTTCAATCAAATTAACTATTCCTTGATAAATAAAAGTATTGATTTCTTTCCTCCAAAAAATAAAATTAAAATTCTCACTGACCCCAAACTTTTGAACGGTAGTGTATATAAATACACATTTGCATGTATGTATTTAAGAAATATTTGTTATTTATATATAAAATATTTAAATTTATATATAATATAAATTATATATAAATATATACAGTATATACATGCAAATATTTCTTAAACATATACGTGCATATGTGTGTGTATTTATATATACAAAATAATTATACACAGTATACACACATATCATGTAGACACAAACTTTTATTTTGTATGCGATTAATCTTTTCCCAGCCCTAATAATTTGACAACTCTGTGAATATGAAAATATACAAACACTGAGATTGTGGGGTTTTTTTTTTTTCTAATTGCAGTTTCACCAACAGATGTCGCCCTTGGGCCTTGGCCTATGAACCTCTTGAAAATGAACGCATTATCCGCATAAAACAACAACGAAAAAACGTATCTAAGCGGTCTTCCTTTTCTTCTCAAACAAACTAACTGCATCTTAAACAGCCCAAGTTTAAAAAATGTCTGGGGGAGAAAGCCCCGGACCCCCGTTAAAATAAAAGATTCAACATGCAGGGCTAAAAAAGCCACGGATCATTTCATTTGCACTACTGGCGACGCCCCCCTGGACATGCATACACGACGCAAGGGCGCCCGCGCTACAAAACTAACATTTTTATTTAAAACATTGTCTTACCTGCAAAGCGACGCGCGAGTATCATCCCGCTGTCTCTTCTTTTTCCTTTTTCCGCCCCCGACTCTTGGTGCCTTTCCGAGGCCATGTCTGAGGTCGGTGTCTGCCAAATTTGACATTGATTGAGGCATAATCGAACAGACCACTGGGAGGTGGGGAAGGGGGGGGGCACCAGAGGGAGACGAAAAATGAGATTCACCTTTTTCTCGACTAATTTGGTCTAGGCCTATATTACTTTTGTATTGCTTTTGTATATTAACATGCTTTAGACATATTTTATTTGTTATTTATACTAGTAGCCTATTGTGATGATTTTTCACGACCCAGATTTTTTGGTGCCCCCCCAAGCACTTGGTGCCCTACGCGCAGCGCGTGATGTGCGTGTGCGGAGCGCCGGCCCTGATCATACGTCAGAGGCACCAGATCAAGAGTCATTAATATCATACATGTTCGATTTGGGATAGTGCGGGCTCCGAAGCCATCCGGAGCAGTAAAATAATCATAATGACACCAAACGATTGAGGATTTTTGGACAAAAAGTCATTTGCGACAAGCCTGGAATTGGTCAGATCGCGTTTAAGCCCTGTGCAAATCGGGCTTAAAATCTCCAAGTGTGTAGCCAGCCTTACCAGAAAGACAAGCCTCGAAGTGGTCAGATCGAATTGGGCTCAAAATCGGGCTTAAATTGTGTAGCCAGCGTTACCAGAAAGTTGCAGGCAGGTGAGTTTGATCAAGATTGGAGCAAACCTCTGCAGTTGAGAACCCCTGGACTACTGTATGTCTCTCTTCAATTTGTTGAAGACTATCAGACTATTGTCATTCCCTCACGAACTACATCTCCCATAACTCACTGCCTGTTTAGCTCACCTCATATAAGCCTGGATTTCTCATTCATTATCTGCGAAGCCTTGTTTAGTGTTAGTACTGCAATTATGAGTGTGTTTGTGTCCTGGTTTCCTTGATTTTCTGCCTGTTCTCTTGGATTTCTTTCCTTGCCTCAGTCCTTTTCTGTTATTGTTAGGATTGCTTGTTTGTGTATGACCCTTGCCTGGATTTGGATTATGTCTTTGGACTACCCTGTTCAATAAATACTGCGTTTGGATCCTCAACCTTCTTGTCTCAGAGCAGTGGCAGGGGCTTCCAGTAACAGGGTTCAGAAGCACTGCTTTAGATGTTGGCTGCGTCTGAAAGCTTAAGCCACAGCCCTGCAGAGTTTAGCTTCAACCCATATTTAACACACCTTATCCAGCTCTTCAGGCTTATGTGAAAACTACAGGTGTGTATGTTGGAACTAAACTGTGAAGGCACCATTTTTCAGGTTTCAGACGCAGCAGTTATTTTTATTTCGAATAGAGGTTCGCCTCTTCTGACACACTGCCAGGACTCAAACCACATACATTTGTAAAAAAAAAGAGTTATACTTTGGCAAAGTACATTACCTTTTCTTTCAGTCTCCTCACAGGCATTACCTCTGTATCCACTTTTACATATACAACTGCACGCTGTCCTGGAGAGCATGGGGACGCCATTATTCATGCAGGGGGCACAGTGACATGGGTTGAAGTTCTCCATATACTCTTCCCACGCCATCTTCAGGTGGGGCAACTTCGTGCGCAGCTGCTCGGCTGATGTGCTTAAGCGGACCAACTCGTATATCGGTGCAATCTATGACAGGACCACAATGACCAGAAATAGAGAAGAAATAACTATAAATAGTATATTGCTTAAATTGAACATTTCAAACATAGAATTTTGACAGAGATCAAAATTTGGGTTGATAATCGTTCATAATGAGTAACCCAATGGTGCTGGGTTAGGAAGGAAGGACAGCATGCATGTCACGCAATTTCTGTGTCCATACCTCTTTTCCTATCGGTGTTAGTGGTGCTAATTAAAGGAATATGTCCGGAAAATAGAAGAAAACTAATAAGAGCGTTTAGAGAGTTTCAACTTTGATACTTTTTTTAACTGGAGGGTTGTGTTTTCTCACACAAATCACTCAAGCATTGACTGGTGAACAGAGACTAAAGAAGCTGGAATAGCGCTTGACCGGAGTGATTAAAAACGCTTATTTTGCAACGCGTAAGTAAATACAATGAAATACTTTCTTTTAATGTGTTAGACTTATGCTTCGCTAGCCGGTGGGGAAGAAGCCATGTTATGGGAGCACGCACAAAACACTATTAAACATAGTATTAAACGTGGTGTATAACACAGTGGGGGATGTAATGAAGAAGTGGCCTGACATCTTATGAGAACATTTATTCAATATATCCATCATTTTTGTTGTGACTCGGAGTGGACGGGTCTTTCTCAATGTGCGCCATTTCACCAGATTTGTAACGTAAATTATCTATAAACATACGCCAACACAGGAGGATCCATCAATATGTTTCTAAATATGCAAACTGTTCATTCATCGCGATTTCAAAATTAAAGTTTAAACCCTCATGAGTCTGCGTGTTTTGATGTCCACATGTTATTGTTCAAGAAATTACAGTGGCTGTAACATGTTTATCATTAAGAAGTGGGCAAATATTAAAGGGATGATCTTCAGCGGGTCTGCCATTAACAAAGTGGAAAGAGCAAACGTACGGAAATAATGTGTCGCTCAAATACACACAAGAGAAATACATAAACTACTGCTGCGTTTAGAACATTAATAACGTAATTTATCATACACCGTTTCACATGTACTGCATCGTGTCACACATTAAGCATGTGCGTGCAAAGAACTCAAAATGGCGATTGAGCGGTTAATGCGACAGATACACTTCTAACTTTTTGACTAAAACATAAAAATAACAAGCAACTCGCATTGCCAGTGTGTTCACACATTACAATAATGCTTTTAACCAAAGCTGACGAGCTTCTTGCAGCGCAGATCATAGGGTGCCCACGTCCACATTCAGTTCTGGTGCGATTTTCAAAATGAGATGAAAAAAAGAGGAAGCAAAAGAGGAGAATATGGACGTGGTCATAGCTTGGGAAAAGAGGACAACTTGGCATGACAATTCTGCAGCTTGAGGTAAGTACGTTTAATTTTTAGCGGCATGTCGTGTTGATCAATACGCCATTTCATGCTGCATTTGTATTGGCTAGTCAGTAGACGCAGGTCATAGAAGCAAACACACTGTGAGATGATCATGCTGAGTTTATAACTGTCAGAAAATTATCGCAGACTATCTTTGGTTGCAAGACCGTGAGAACGGCCGTCTTTGAACCTCTCTCACTGTGGGACGTAGGGCCAGAGTTTAGGAGCCACGACCATAGAAATCTCCACGATTGGTCATCTTTCATCTGGGACAGCCCAAAATCATACAATGTGTACCAGGCATTAAATGGAGAGAGTAAAATCCTGTCGATTTGCTTTAACCCTTTAGGCGCCAAGGTTTTTTTGAAAAAAATGGTGGATTTTGACATCAAAATTTCAAAAGCTTGTGGCTTGAAAGGGATTAAAGATAGAGATCTACTGTGAATTAGAAAAATGTTGGGGATGACTGAAAGTTTATGTGGGGTGTAAATATACTCATCTAATTTGCATATTATGACATCATCAGGGGGCGGCCCTCTTGAATTTCATAATATTCAGAAAATACTAGATATTGAACTGATGTTTGAACTTATTTGCATGTTTTTTTACATTTTTTATTTTTTATCCTCATTCCAAATGATGAGAAAAGAGGAAACCAACAATAACAGGAGAAAGTACTAAATTATTACTATACTATATAGTAGTAAAACGCATGTGAACAGTAGCCTACTTTTTGATCAGTTCATCAGTAATATTCAGGAAATAGTAGATATTGAATTGATTTTGGAATTTATTTACATGCTTTTTTTTGCTTTTTTTTTAAATCCTCATTCCAAATGATCGGAAAAGAGGAAACCAACAATAAAATAGGAGAAAGTACTAAATTATTACTATATTACAATACTTTAGTAAAACACATGTGAACAGTAGCAGTAAAATGCATGTGCCTATTTTTTGATCAGTTGACCAGCTATCTGCTAAATCAGGTATCTAGGTGACACAGTTTATAGTTTTTGAGAGTATGGTACCTCTCATTGCATGGCACAGCGCAAAGACCTACACCACACTGACTGCACCTGTACTTTGTCTGCCGGCGGCCCTTAGAGCGTGTGCGATCAGAACAAACGACACAATCTGGCCGATCATCTGCAACGCGGAGCCAGTGGCGCTCAGGGAGCCTCTGTGGCATTTCCCCCCCCCCTCCACTGAAGGCCTTCCTGGTTTTTTGCTTTCCCTCTTGGAATAGCCCTCAAGCAAAGCAGTAATAATGTCCTGGACGAAGGCCTTCAGTGGCTTGTGCGGACCAGGTGCACACTTGGAGTAAATTATATGGGAGTTCACTACACTGATGCTCAGAATCGCATTGAAGATGCGATTGTACCATTTTCTTGAACGGTGTGGAAAGAGGTAGGTTTTCATCCTCTGATCAGAGGTGTCTACTCCTCCCATGGAGGTGTTGTACCTGTCAACGCACACAGGTCTGTTTATCTCACGAAAACCTGTGTCGCTTTGCTTTGACCTGATACGTTTCCGAACACATGAGTTCCCATGAAGAGACGAGAGCATAGTGAGACGCTTTGTGTCATGCCATGCACAAGCTAACAGTTTGCCATTTCTCATGAACACTGGGTCATCTCCTTTCCTCAAAGGCAACTCAGTTTGTCTCAGACACCTCGGCATACCACGCCTTTTGCAGTTCACTGTCCCACACATACCAGTGTCATTATGTGCCAGCTCATTTGCTATGGCTGGTGATATGTAGTAACTATCCATGTAAACCTCATGCCCTTTCCCTGTGTATTGGGCCATCAGCAGACGAACAATTAGATGGGTGGCACCTAAATCAGCATCAGCATCAGCATTAGCATTTTGGCCAGTGTACATGGACCACTGCAAAACATAACCTGAGCTGGCCTCACTCAAAACATACACCTTGTAGCCATACTTGTCAGGTTTTTTAGGGTTGTATTGTTTCAAGGTGGACTTTCCCTTGAATGCTATGGTCATTTCATCAAGAGAAAGCTCCTTGAGTGGACCATAAACTGCGGAGAAAAGCGGAATTATCAGCTCAATTACTGGACGCACCTTGAACAGCCTGTCATGACCTGGCTGACCCCTCCCCACATACTCACTGTTGTTTGTGAAATGAAGGAAAGACAGAATGATCTCAAATCTGTTCCTAGACATTACTTTGCCAAACCCAGGTTTGTAAGTTGGCCAAAATTCTGCCCAGTAATCCTCAATTTCTGCCTTCTCTACCAGCCCCATACACAAATGCAGTGCTAGGAAGGCCTTCATCTCTGAGACAGACACATACCAATTATGAAATCTGGAATTGGGTTTCAGCTGCTGGGAGTTTAGAAACTGATGAGCATATCTATTGGTTTCATTTGTAATGAGGTTCCAGAAGTCATCAGTCAGAAAAAGGGACAGAAAGTCTAAGGGTGCAGCACTGGTAAAATCTTTCTCTCCTAGATAACCAACAGGCTCATCAAAGTGTTTGATCCAGTCCTGATACACTTCTTCATTTCTCAAAAAAACCCGTCATTTTGATCTTGAATCGAAGTATTACATGTCTGCCATCTAGTGGTAGGGAGAAAAAGATAGATATTACACCATATTAGGAGCTACAGCCTGTTTTATTAAGTATGACGTCTTGTCGCAATTTTGCGACTTTGGCGCTCAAAGGGTTAATAATCAATAATATTTTATTTTATTCCTGACATTTAGGTTCTCAGTCTGTGTGTTTCTTCAGCACTCAGTCGGATGGTTTCATTGGTTAGTGGTATTATTTTCAATGATAGAAGAAACACTAAATAACTTTTGAATTTTTTTTTTAAATGTAAGTTATTCAATATTAATATTTTATAAAGCAATTTTGTCTACCTGTATAAGCTGTTTAACTGTTAAGTTGCCATTGTTTTCTGCACTTTTTCTCATTTAAAACTGTTGCCTTTATTTATTTTGTCTGTCAATAATATTTTTCACCTTTTGATTATTCCTGTTGCCTGTGTTCCTGTAGTCATTCTGTGAGTATTAGAGTGATTTTCATTTACAACCTATTTAGAGTTTGTTTTAGACATTTTTTTTAAAACTGTTTGAATTGTTAAAAAAACCAATTCAGCATGTTGAGTCAAACTACATTTAACCCAGGGTTAAAACAACCAAGTGCTGTGTTTGTCCCTTTTCAACCCAGCGCTGGGTTGCCAAATGACCAAAATTGTGTTGTTTTTAACCCTGCATTTGTATTCCTTCCTAATCAAATTTCCTAGAACATGACGGAAAATTATTTACCTAAAGCATATATTTATAGCTTACCGTCAAGTTACATTTAAATTACACTAAACTCTGCAGAAAAGTGGACCTCAAGGGCCAGAGTTGATGAAACTTAAGTTTGAAACAGCTAAGTATCCTCTGGTGCTCTTCTGTCATTTTTGACCGAAAAATTTGGAAATTTCATTGGAAATGAATGGGAGACGAATTTCATCTTGTGGAAACTTTTGATACTGTGGCCAAACAAAATCTTACTGAAAGCTCATTTTTTGAGATATCAAGCTCAAATGTGGAACACAACTTGTTTCGATTTTATATTTAGCTTTGATTTTCTTGCAGCTTTAGAGTAAAACGTGATTTTGAAAATATATATTTCATTTAAAAAATGTAAAGTGTATTTTTGTGCATTTTCCATAACAATACACGTAAAGTTCACTTTTTAAAACTTTTTTCACTTCAGCAATAATCTGCCAAGTGTCGTCTTTGAAAAGAGATCAAACTTCAGTCTGTCGCTCTAAAAACCATTCAAGATTTATGACAGTTTAAGTTGGACATTTAATTGTCAGGTCTATACTCAAAAAGTGAATAAATGGATTATAAATACAGTATTAATACTAATTTAGTATAAAAAATCCACTAAAAATACAAAATATTAAATAAAAACTTTATCAAACTAAAATATAGTACAATCGTTTAATAAAAAAAAATCTGTACTTTTTGACCGACCTGCGAAGAGCAGGTTAAGTTAGTAAGGCCAATGCACCTCAAACTCAATTAGCGCAGGGTTATATTTGAGACTCTTCCCCCAATGCTTATAACTTTTGGCATCTCTGATACCCAAACTTCCACTGCTGGAGCCTGTGTCTCCACCCTTCACAAAGCCCAAGACATCCTGAATAGCACCGTTGGACTGATCACGAACTGTTGAAAATAAAATAATAATAAGTGTTGAATTTTAACAAGTATAAAACCAAAAGAAGAAAAGAAAATGCATGGGACTCCAAGTTACGTACTCTCATCCATTGTTGCATCTTTTTGACATGATTTTGCTTTTGCTTTAATTTTGACCTTTTTGTTCAATGTCAGGCCCAAAGAACCACCAATGCACCCTCCAATCTCTTGCCCAGATTTTTCTAATAGTGAAAAGAAATTTCAAAATTTTTTTGTGGGAAATGGCACAAGTACCAATTAGATTTTCTAACTTGAATAAAGTTAGCTAAATACAGTTGAGTCATTTATTTTAGATACTTTATTTGGGTTGTGTATGTAATTTACTTACCATTTCTTTCCATGGCATTCTTGTTCACAACAGCAACATAATCAACGACCCCACCCATGGTTCCCTCTGTGACATAGTGTGTACCAAATTGATTGAAGAAATCGGAATATGCACCAAAACTGTACTGATCTGGCAGATCCCCCAGAGCCCAGAGCATGTCCTCATCCAGAGTCAAGTCTCTGCTTCTCATCTTAAACTGAGCCGTTTGCACTGTTGACAGCAGCCTGACAAAACCCATCTCCTGAACATGAAAAGGAAACAATGGATGGGGGTTATTAGGAGGCCATAATTGGCAAGGGCCAATGGATATAAGCACGAGCCCCGTCTGATTAACTGTAGCGGCAGTGTTGCTACAATCTATAGAGATATTCTTAATGTTACTCAGAAAACAGGACCCAGGATTAAATAATTTGAAATGCTTGTGCTAAATGTTACACTTTCATAAGAAAATGAAAATCCATACTATCTCTTGCTTTTGCTTATAGACCTCCAGGGCCCTACATTGATTTCCAAAAAGAGTTATTGTTCATGGGCGGCGTTTACATATGGCAGAGTATGGCATTTATGCTGCTCGTTAATTCTCTTGCTTGAGTTTGCCTTTGGCAGAAATTGGCACTTTGAAAAGCAAATTTAAACAGCCTAACGCCGTGTCTTAACCAGACGTGATGCTTTAAGATTTCCAGCAATTTGACAAAATCAACCAAAAATCACAGCCAATCAGAAGAGCGCATGTGCGGGCTCTCTCTGTAGATGATACAATTGATGCGTTGGGGGCTGCATTTAAAGATTTACTAAACTCCTTTTGGGTCAAGCAAAACGTCACTAAACCCACTCATCGTCGAAATCATACACTTGATTATCGTGTTTTATTTTATTTCTGTTTTTATTTGACAGGGACAGCGCACAATTTAAAACAATTGCACCAGAGTTAGCTAACAGCTAATTTGCATCTGTTGTCTCTAGGCAGGTAGACAAAACATAACAAAAGACAAAGCAACCACTAAACAACAAATGCACTACATCAATTTACAAATGACATTTTATCCATCAATTTAAAATTGATAAAAAAAATAATTTGATAAATACACCAGATACAGAATATAGAAAATGCAATGCAACAATTAATGGCGACACTCTTGTGCTGATTTTAGATAAATTTTGAGGCTAGCTTTAAATACTGCAAAACTTCCTGAGTTTCTAATGTTGGTGGGTATTGAATTCCACTTCCCCACTACTTTAACGGAGTAGGCGGATTGACCAAAGGTTGACTTTCTAAAATGCGGCACCAAATCACCCCTAGTTGATGCTCTAGTTCTACCGGCTCTGCCACTGCCTGAAAAAACTATGCATCCTCTAAGAGGAGGGGGTGCAAGTTCATGAACAACTTTAAACATTAGACATGTGTCTGAATAAAATAAAAAAAATTCAAAATTGAGAAGATTATATTTTTTCAAAATATTACAATGATGATAATCCTTATGTTTTTTGTCTAATACTTTTAAAATTGGTTTGTAAAGTGAATACATGGGCTTGAGCGTAGTCACACCTGCCTGTGACCAGGTTGTTATGCAGTAAGACAAATGGGGAAAAATCATTGTGTGTACAAAAAGTTTTGCAGCAGACAGTGACAAATGATGTCTGATACTCTTAAAGTTGTTCAGATTAAATTTAACAGTCTTGATTACCTTACTAAGTTGTTTTTTGAAAGTCAGATTTGCATCAATTATAATGCCCAAATATTTAACATGTGTCACGGATGTAATAACTTCATCGTTAATTAAAATATCAGGATTAACTGAATTATTGATCCTGGCTGTAAAATACATACAAACTGTTTTACTTAAATTAAGGGTCAAACATGAATTTGCCAGCCAATCCGATACCTTATTCATCGAGGCTGTCAGTTTGGCTGCAACGTATTCTTTAGATCTTGCATGGGTAAAAATCACAATGTCATCAGCATACATTTGGATGTTAACATCCGGACATGCTTGAGGGAGGTCATTTATATATATACTAAATAAAAGAGGTCCTAAAATAGACCCTTGAGGGACCCCTGAAATACAGTTAGCAAATGAGGAACACTTATCACCCACTCTTGTGCATTGTTTTCTGTTATTCAAATAAGATTCCATCCAGGTCATGGTATTAGCAGATAAATTAAATTTAGAAAGTTTCAAAAGTAAAACGTTATGATTAACGGTATCAAATGCCTTCTTAAAATCTAAAAACACAGCTCCGACGACACCGCCTTTATCAAGTTGACTTTTGATTTGTTCCACAAAAAAACAATTTGCTGTTTCTGTCGAGTGATGCTTTCGGAAGCCAAACTGCATCGGGTGCAAAGTAAATTCACCTTCATTTAGATGAGAGACTAACTGGTCACAAACGACCCTTTCTGTAATTTTAGAAACTATTGGGAGTATACTAATGGGCCTATAGTTGGATTTGTTTGTTCTATCACCGGATTTTAAGATAGGGGTCACTACTGCAGCCTTCCAGGATGAGGGAAAATAGGATTGTGTTATTGACAAATTTATCAGGTAAGTTAAAGGCTTACATAGTATTAATTTGTAATTTTTTAAGAATTTTGCATCAAAATCAAAAACATCCTTAGACTTGGACCCTTTTAAACAATCGAGTGTTTTCATCACTGTATATTCCGAGACATTTTTGATTGTGAAAACAGGGAAGTCAGTATTTGCCAATTCAAGTACTCTTGGTCTTATACCAAAATTCTTGACCAGACACTGTACTGAGTCTACAAAGAATGAATTAAAGATCGTAGCTATTTTTCCTTTATCTTCTATTACTTTTGATTGTTCGTTTATTACCCAATTTTGAACAGATTTACACTCCTTCTTTGTAATTTTATTAATATTATTAATATAATTTATAATATTAATGTCCTGTGTTAGCGGCAAGGTAGAACAATTCTCCCAAATATTATCGATAGATTCACAAATAACCTGCCTGATCTGTCTCAGCCGCTCAGTGAACCCAAACACACAAATGAACTAGAGGAAATGACTAGCAGTATTTGCACCATTTTCTCTAGTACGTTAGAAACTGTTGCACCCATCAGATTTAAAAAGGTAAAAAAGCATAAGTGGAAACAAACTCATCAAGAGGTCTTTAGAGTCGCGTGGAAAGACAGCATTCCCCGTTATAAAAGCAGCCGAGCATCTCCGCAAACTAATAGAAAATAACCAAAACAATCCAAGGTCAAATAAACAGACATCACCTGAACTATTCCATTACAGTTTAGTAATAATGACTTTATGAATTTCTTCAATGAGAAAATTGAAAGCAAATGTACAATCTTTGACAGTGTTTTATGATTCACCTCAATTATCGCCCCTCAAGAACCATTGCAGTGCTTTACAACTATAGGACTGGAAGAGCTAAATAAACTTATCTTTGCATCTAAACCAACAACATGTTTATTAGATACAATACCCACTAAACTACTGAAAGAAGTGTTACCTGTAGAAGAAGAGTCTCTTCTCAATATTATTAGCTCGTCTTTATCTCTAGGTTATGTTTCAAGATCGTTCAAGCTGGCAGTTATTAAGTCTCTCTCTCTCATAAAGAAATCACAATTAGATCCAAGTGAATTGGCAAATTACAGACCCCTTTTCAAATCTTTAAATATTCAGTCTTAAATATAAGAAAAAGCCGTGTCAGCTCAATTGTGCTCTTTTTTGCTAAATAATGATATCTATGAAAAATTTCAGTCTGGATTTGGGCCACATCATAGCACAGAAACTGCACTCGTTAAAATCACAAATGACTTACTTCTAGCTTCTGACCAAGGCTGTATCTCAATACTAGTTTTACTTGATCTTAGTGCTGCGTTCAACACTATAGATCATGAAATACTCTTAGATCGATTACAAAATTACACGGGTATTCAGGGACAGGCATTCAGGTGGTTTAGATCGTATATTATGCGCTATATTTCTCTAGACTAGATTACTGTAATGCATTACTAGCTGGTTGTCCTTCATCCTCAATAAACAAGTCCAAAATGCAGCTGCTATACAAATAACACCAATTTTATCATCTCTACACTGGTTACCTATTAAGTTCTGTCTCAATTACAAAGTATTGCTACTGACCTATAAGGCCCTAAATGGTTTAGCATCTGTGTATTTAACTGATCTTCTATCGGCCTACAATCCATCAATGTAATGTAGACACATGCATTTTCTGTAAAGCTGCTTTGTATTGTGAAAAGCGCTACACAAATAAATGTGAATTCAATTGAATTGAATTGTTTACATTTTTCAGGGTAATCAATGGAACATAAAAATGGTCACAGTGTATTCAGAAAGTATTCAGACTGCTGCAGCCGTATGCTAAAACTATTAAATGTTTTTTTTCCCCACACATCAATCTATACCCTTACGAAAAATACGTTTATTCAAGTATGTTATTAGTAACTTCTTTTAAACTAAATAATAAGAAAGTTTACTTTCAGTCTACTTTTTATGTACTTCTCAGACTTAAAAATGCACTTAAGTATACTTGACTAATACTGACAGAAAGGTGTGTATGTATTTTTGGATTATAATGTACTCAATCTTTTGATCAAAATACTTTAAAGTTTAATAAAGTATTCTAAGTATACTGTACTTGGCTTGTAGTTGTTTAATCTTTTGGTTGAGTAGCCTATTAAATATATTCTTCATATAGTTTTACATACATATAAATAAATTAAAATGCAATTTTCTCAGCTTTTTTTTAAAATGTTCCTTTTTTTAGTGACACTTACCCTCATTCAGGTGTTGATAAAAAGGATGCATGAAACTAAAATAAATTTATTTCAAAATGGGAAGTTAAAGTATAGTTAAATGTGTATTTAAAGTATAAAAAATTAAAACCTAAATAAGAACATAGTAGAATACTAAAAGTGCAAACAAACATTTGAATAGTAAACTATAAGTATGATGTTATGTTCACTTAAAGAATGCTTACAAGAACAATTGCAGTATAAAACTACTAAACTAGTTTATTGAGAATATACTTTAAAAGTGTACTTTTATAAACTAAAACATTTACTACAAGTATTAAAATAGTAAACTACTAGTATACTTATAAGTTCACTTGTAGTACAGATGCAGTACAAATGAGAAACGTAGTTGTGCACTTAAAGTTTACTACTATTACAGTTATAGTACACCTAAATGTATACTTTATATACTACTAGGTGGGCTAATTTAGTCCCATGCAGTATTGAAATAGGACACTTACAATTTACTACTAGTAAACTGATATTAGTATACTTACTACATAAAGTATACATAAAATGAACTTCTTTTTCGCAAGGGGGTGAACAAAAGCTCACCGCTGTGAAGGATAGAAATCCAATAAAATCACACAGTTCTAATTGCTTGCTGTAGGGTTGCATCATAGAGACCGATCAACTATGTAAAGCTATTATTGGCTGTTAACAATCAACGCACAATCAATCAGAGCACTCTTAAATTCTACAGCATTCTCAGTGGCCAGGAGAGACATTACAAGACCGAAGTGTACAATACAGCTAGTGGCTGGGAGAATCTTAAGCTGGAGCCTTACACTTCAAACAAGCCCAAATATGCAACTGTTCTTCTGGAAATAAGCCCCCCCCCAACCAGCCACTGCCTATATAAGTGACTTCTTGAAGAAGAAAAAAAGCAGTATATAATAAGCAGACTTGGCAACACTAGTACATGGTGACAATAAAGAGAGTTGAGTAGATATCCAAATGTATTGCTTTACCTTGTTATTGTATTGTGATATGTTGCTGAGAAACTTGTGATGGTCACTACCTTCCAGACCAACTTCCACAAAAGAGACTCTCAGTGTTATACCCAAGTTGAAGGATCCTTCTTTCTGGCTTGCTCTGAGAAAGCTGACAGCATCCTCAAAATATTCTGAGGCTTCCTCAGTAGTTGCTTGTGCCTGGCGAGGACAAAAGCACAGTCAGCGGATGCGTCTCAATCGTAAGGTTGCATCCTAGTTAGGCTGTGTCCTTCTTCACCCAGTCCTACTCAGCATTACACAGAAGAATGAGTCCGCATGGGCCTTATAGGAGACAGCCTTCTGATTGAGAAGCACCCAATATGTGAAATTCAAATTCTTTAAAAAGAATTCAGAAATGTTCATCTGTGTTCACTAACATTAATATTTAAGGATTGTTTGTTTGGTAGCATAAAATGTTAGTCATTCTCAGCAAACGATGCCATTTATGCACTATGTGTGTCCCCAAAACTTACTAATAATAGAATTATGCTACAAACAAAAGAGCATGGATTAGATTCTGGAAATGAATGGACATGTTAAAAAAAATGTAAACTCAAATGTAAAAAATTGTAAAATGTACTCCAACATCCTAACTAAACACAAATTGACCTAACTGTTCTAACCACATATTTAAGAATCGGGTTACTAGTTTAAGAATCAGTCATTGGAAAAACCCATATTGGTTGAGCAATAATCTAGAGAATAATCAGTGTTTAAAAACATGAAAATTGCAGTCTGAACCAAGTTGGTGGCCTTAACGCACAAAATATGACAATAACATATGAAAGAAGTTGAGTGTCTTTGTTGCTTTCAGTTACAATATCCCTAAATAAATATGTCAAAATAGTGTCCATTCTGATTATTTATTGTAAGAGGTTGCATTTTGCTTAATAAAGCCAAGTTTAGTATAAATTATCCAAATGTCCATATTAGTCCATAAATGCTTCATGATTGGTATTGTAAGCCTCTTAAAGCCATTGCATAGATGTGAGGAACAGGTTTGTATTAACCTTTGTTTTCATACAGAAAATATGATTTCTTGAATGTTCAAACGTAATTTTCACACACAATCATGTGCAGCATAATAAACATTGAAAGTAATGAAGTTCTAATTAAAGAGCCGGAGATATCAGCGCTCACCATTATCTGATATGTGAGGAAGTTGTATGGTTTCCGGTAATATTTTTCAGCATCATCATAACTGAGGTGTTCACAGAAAGGATCATACGTGAGTTTCCGCCACTCTCCATTATAGATGTATTCACAAACACCTCCAAAGTATCTCGGGTCCAGAACATGATTCATAAAATCTCCCGTTAAAGCATTATATCTGAGGGAATTAAACAAAAAATAATTCAGGATTTGGATACATGTTGAACTTGTTAAAATATAGTGAAATGTAAAGCTAGATTATCTGCCAAAAATGTAATTTTCTGATATTTAGCATTAAACGCATACTATTTTGTGGTTCCAAATATCTGTAGATATTTTGAAGAATGTTGTTAACCAAACCGTATTGGAGATCATTGACTCTCATTCATGTGCAGACCGATGCATTTCTACATGGGTTTGCTGATTCTTACCCTCGAGTGGCTTTATCTGCTCCTGGTATGATCAACATGTCGGTACACTTGGTTTCTCTTTTATTCAACACTTCACAGTCAATCTCATCTTTCTGATTTACACAGTCTATTTCATCATTGCAACGGAGCGGCTGTCCAATACAACGTCCTGTGAGAACACAGACAACACATTTGAAGGGGACCTATTATGCAAAATCCACTTTTACATGGTGTTTGAACGTGTGTTGAATCAGTGTGTGTACACAACCACCCAACAATGCTAAAAATCCACCCACTCATAAATAATAAACAATGTCTGAGATTAAGCCATTTTCAGTTTCTATGCAATGTGAGTCACACATGCTTAGGCCCCGCCCACAACCGCTGACAGACTCCGCCCCATTTGCATAGGCTCCGCCCATCAGTGAGCTGTACACAGTCCGCCATGTTTACCTCCACGCCAGAGCATTTAAGAGCAGCATTCAAGCAAGAAATGTATTCTTATTATAGCTACTAAAGTTATTCAGTCAAAAGCAGTGAGTGATTTTCTGTTTTTCTCTTGTTGTTTGATTCATATTAACAGCATTTATAGCAGTAGGTCCTGTATATTACTCTGCTGTCACTTTAATACACAGATCTAATATTCACATGCGATTTCTTTTACCTGCTGTTGACGTTCACAGACATAACCGACTGTTTATATAAACTTTGTGTGTTTTTGACAGCCTTGTGTGTATGTGGATAGTGAGAGAGAACTTAGTGACAGTAATGACATTCAGCTTTCTGTGCACTCAGAAAACCATATATCAGAAGTTTACACTGATAAAACACATGCTGATAATAAACTTACATCATGATGAAGAACGTCTCGGTTACGGATGTAACCCTCGTTCCCTGAGTAGGGAACGGAGGCGTTCTGTCGATGGCGACGAATGGGGTTTCGCTTAGAAAGCCTATCAACTTCGAGTCTTACAAAACGAGCCAATGACAAAGAAATGCCACCTCGTGGGTATAAAAGGAGGAAGCCAGGCAGAATGCAGATATGTTTCTTCGCTGAGGAGCCAAGACTGAGCTCAGGCGATCCCCGCGGTACAGCGGAAAGTGGCAGGAAGACGAACCTCTCCGTTCCCTACTCAGGGAACGAGGGTTACATTCGTAACCGAGACGTTCCCTTTCGTTGTCACTCCGAGTGCCGTCGGATGACGACGAATGGGGATACCAGTCTAATCACGCCACCTTCTTGGCTCTCTTCCAGTGCCCTGCGTAAATCTGAGATCCCTGTCGTGAGACTGGCACGGACGAAGGACTCCTATTTAGCACAGGAATACCAAGGTACACTGGGGAGCATATCCCATAGCTTAGAAGAATATGCAATTACTGCCAACCCAGAGGGGGGGGGGGACTTAGAGAATACACATATGTCCCGGAGGGATGCATATGGAGAACACTAGGGTGTCCAGCCGAAGGTGGAATATTTCAACCCCAGGGGTGGCAAGGTGGCTTGCCAAGGGAAAGACACATGCTCAGAGAGGCTTACAGTGGAAATACACATGTGGGGGTCGCTCAGAGGAGGGACCATGCACACGGGAGGCACCTAGCCGACGCACAGGCAATTGACACTGGCGCCGACGTCAGGAGTGCTGGAGGAACTCAGGGCTTACGGAGAAGCTCACCTGAGGAGAATATTGCACGTATCCAGTCCGAAGAGTGGAATGTGAGTGGAAGAGTCGAGCAAGCGAAGACACCTGAGTGGGTCCAGTACTAGCTGGTTGAAGCGAGTACATGAGAGGACACTGGCTCCACTCGGAGATTGTAGAATCTGGCGAATGTGTTGGGTGTCGCCCAGCCTGCAGCTCTGCAGATGTCTGTTAGCGAGGCACCATGCGCTAGAGCCCAAGAGGACGCCACACTCTGGGTGGATTGGGCAGTCACACCAAGGGGGCACGGTTGACCTTGCTGCTGGTATGCCAAAGCAATGGGGTCCACTATCCAGTGAGACAGCCTTTGCTTGGAGAGAGCCTTTCCCTTCAGCTTCCCACCATAACAGACAAAGAGCTGGTCTGAGGTCCTGAAACACTGCGTTCTGTCTAGGCGCGGAGAGCACGTACTGGACAGAGCAGTGCCAAGGCTGTGTCTGCCTCCTCCAGGGGCAGCGCTTGCAGGTTCACCACCTGGTCCCGGAAGGGAGTGGTAGGAACCTTGGGCACATATCCAAGCCGGGGTCTCAGGATCACGTGAGAGTAGGCCGGCCCGAATTCCAGGCACGCTTCGTCAATGGAGAATGCGTGCAGGTCCCCTACCCTCTTGATGGAGGCCAATGCAACCAGGAGCACTGTCTTCATAGACAGGAACTTAAGCTCCACTGATTGCAAAGGCTCAAAGGGAGCACTCTGCAGGGCAGTTAGAACCACAGCGAGGTCCCAAGAGGGAACGAGAGGAGGGCGAGGAGGATTCAGTCTCCTCGCTCCTCTCAGGAACCTGACGATCAGGTCGTGTTTCCCCACAGACTTACCTTCGACTGGGTCATGGTGTGCGGCAATAGCGGCAACATAGACCTTGAGGGTGGAGGGAGACAGCCTTCGCTCCAACCCATCTTGAAGAAAGGAAAGCACGACACTGATCAAACATCTCCGGGGGTCTTCTCGGTGAGAAGAGCACCAGTTGACGAAGAGGTTCCACTTCAACGCGTAGACGTGTCTCGTGGACGACGCTCTAGCGGAAGTGATGGTAGCCACCACCGCTGGTGGTAGGGTACTCAAACCTGCCCCGTCCCTGAGAAAGGAGGTCCTTCCTCAGGGGAATCGCCCAAGGAGGTGCTGTCGCGAGGAGTACAAGTTCTGAGAACCAGGTCCGGGTGGGCCAGTACGGCGCGACCAGAATGACCTGCTCCTCGTCCTCCCTGACCTTGCGCAGGGTCTGCGCAAGAAGGCTCACTGGGGGAAACGCATATTTGCGGCCCTGCGGCCAGCTGTGCGCCAGTGCATCTGTGCCGAGCGTGCCCTCGGTCAGGGAATAATACAGGGCGCAATGGGTCGAGTCGTGAGAGGCAAACAGATCTATCTGTGCGTCCCCGAACTGGTCCCAAATCAGCTGAACCGACTGGGGATGGAGTCGCCAATCTCCCGGGAGGGGCTGAAGCCGTGAGAGCTCGTCGGCTGCACAGTTCAGGGCTCCGGGGATAGAAATGGCACGAAGCGACCTCAGATGCTTCTGACTCCATATGAGGAGGTGGCGGGCGAGTTGCGACATACGGCGGGAGCGTAGACCACCTTGACGGTTGATGTATGCTACAGTGGCGGTATTGTCTGATCGGACTAGTACGTGTTGATTCTTGAGCACGGCCTGGAATCGGCGCAGAGCAAGACGTACAGCGATACTGGTATGCCTGCCTCTCGAAAGCAAACCGTAGGAACGGTCTGTGTCGAGGGAAAATGGAGACATGGAAGTAGGCGTCCTTCAGGTCGATCCCTGCAAACCAATCCTGGGGCCGCACACATTCGAAAATGCGTTTGGCGGTGAGCATCTTGAACGGCATCCTGTGAAGGGAGCGGTTCAGCACGCGCAGGTCTAGGATTGGCCGTAACCCACCGGTTTTCTTCGGGACAATGAAGTACGGGCTGTAGAAGCCGGCTTTTTCAGCTTTTTGGCAGAGTATCCGAGGCTCCGCCCTCTTCTGGAAAGGGGGGCGGGGACTCAAAAGCTAATTTGCATTTAAAGATACATGCACGAAAACAGCATGTTTTTCCTTCCACTCAAAAATGGGCTCTGAGGACACCCGAGACATCTTGTATAAAGGAGCATAATAGGTCCCCTTTAACATACACACAGACAAAAGTGTAGAAAAGAAGGCAGACAGAAATATTTACCAGCGGGCCCACAAGCAAACATGTCCCCACAGTGGTCCTCTTGGAGTTGGCACTCGTCCTCTTGTGGACATAGTCTTTCGTCCCACTGACTGTGAACACACTGCTGACCACCAAACTGAGACGGCCGTTCCAAGTACTGGAAGCGAAACTGTGAAACATCACAAACATATTTATGTTAAACACATTTTAAATGTTTATGTTCAATGCACATCAGCTATGTAACAATCGCAATTAGATCACCTCAAAATGTTGCTTATGTTTGCATTAGAGCTACACTTGTTTGTTGCCCAGCAAATAATAATGCATCAATAATGCAATAATAATAATCCTATAATGCATGAAGTCCACTAGAGTGGACAGATATTTTTTATTTATTTTAACCTCATTACAATGAACAAAAACAGACTTTCTTTTCCAAATTTGTTGGTTTGTATGAGTGTCTAAATTATGTTTTTACCATCCTGTCGCTACATGAGTTACAGGGTGACCAGGCCGTCCAGCTCTTGAGTTTACAGTCGATAGGAGAGGGGGTATCGACTCCTCTGGTGTGTCTCGAAGATGCATTAGCCCTGAAGAGACACAATATGTGAAGAGTACAACATGAAAAAATCTCCTAAAAGTACAGTATCTATTATTACCTGTTGCTTGATGATTCATCAGTAAATCTGGCAGAAACATGGTGACTGAAACATTCAAAAAAAAGTCCAAATGTGCAAACAGAAAACAAAAATCGGCACATAGCTGAGATGGTTAGAGATTGATCTGAGACCTGGGTCCAGTCTACATACTGTTTGTCAGTATTATTAATGATTGACAGGATTTGGGGGGGAAAAACTCTAGTCACTTTTGCCCCGAATGCTCCACCTCTAAGCAAATACATGACAAGCTCTACATGGAGAATTAGGGTTGACTGGCATTGAGTGAAAATAAACAGTAATTATTACCGGATTGCATTCCATGTTTTCTGGCCATTATTATGTCACTTTTCACACATAAAAAATCTGTAGAAAAACGAATAACTCTTTAACCCTAAGGCTTTTACCACAGCACACATTTACAAATCTAAAGTCTTATACCAGCAAATTATAGCCTAGATGTAGCCTAGTAATGGGCGCTTTCGAAACATTTCCGATTAATTTGTTTCAAAACGGTGAGTCACAAATGTCAATGGTTCGCAAAAAAAAAAAATGTTTTAAATGGTTCCCCGCTATAGACGCCATCTCTATTAACCCATGAACCAGTGTCTATATGCGATTTTTACCTGATCTCGGATCAGTCTTATAAATTTGTAAATATTTAATGACACCTTTTTATAATAAAAATAAGGATTTTATTTGTGGCTGAAAGCCTGATTAAGCAAGCTCTCTAAAATGAAAACAAATCAAGTTAATAAAATAACTCATATTATAAAAACACTTGACATTTAATCGTATTTGATGGTTTCTTGATTGCATAAGCTACATAATAAACGTCTGGTTGTTATGCATGTTTGGTCTGCATTTACACTGTTCTGTCCAGCAGGGGTCTCCAGGGTGTGGCGTTTCCAGCGCGTCCAAACAGGGAATCAAGCCATTGGTTCAGTTGATTCAAAGTTCAGAAAAGCTTCGTTTCTCCTCGAACGTCGTCAAGTAAATGTAGGATTCTTTCATTTGCCCGCTACTTAATTTCAGCCAATCAGGTGTGCAACCCACACGCAACGTGATTAATATTCATGAGCCAATCCTTCAACAGAGTCGGTTTGATCAATCAATAAGAACAATGCCCCGCTGCCTAAACGTGTTTTGCGATTATTTTCAAGATATTATAATGCTTATATAATCTGCTCTTGCCCAAGAAGGAGACTGAACGACGATGGAACAGGTAAATAAATTGTTTGGGATAACAAACAAAATAAAAACGCCAAGCAGATCCTATTTTGTCAAATAGATAGATGGGTTTAAATGGGTCAAAAAGTATGCGTAGTTTAATCACAAATAGCCTACGTGTATTTTGTTTATGGAGTTGATGTTTTATACTGATATACGCTATTTCAATCAATCCCTTATGAAATTAAACGTGGGTTGTAATTAGTAAAAGTGTAACGTTAGTAGCCTAATGGTTAAACTATGGTTAGTGTAGCAAAACTATGATTAATGTGTGGTTACCATGGTTTAATTACACTTAACCATGTTTTATTATTATTATTATTTGTAGTACAACCATAATTAATTTGTGGTTATCAAGGTTTAACTATACTAACCATGTTTTTTTGGTTTTATTTTTTGTGAAACCGTGGTTTAACTACAGTATCCATGTTGTTTTGGTTTTATTTGTACTAGTAAAACCATGGTTAATTTTCATAAGGGATGTGTTTGCCTACTTGAATATTACACTATCTCTTGAAATGTGTTGATATGTGGGTGCTTACATGCATACGTATGACAACTAACCGATTAAATCTGTTACCGTTTGCGTTTCATGTCGACTATAGGAAGCCTGCAGCAATTTCAGATCCATAAGGGCCAAGTTTCAGGAAGAGCTCCAGGTGAGGAACAGACCTGTGCTTCCCGAGAAACCCAGACGCCTCCCAACAGCCGGCGTGGGCCGCTCTGGTCCGATAACCATGAGCTGGAGTTCAGCTGTGGAAACCAAGACCCCTAGTCTACCCCGGGCCATTTTCAGAGAAGACCTGAAAACAGCCTCAGGAAGACGGCCTGTATCTTTCCCAAGCTTTCCCAACACAACATCTGAAGTCAGCAGGTCTGGTGAGGATGGGCACAACAGGCAGTCGCTCAAAGTTCGGCATTTGCCCCTCGTGTTGCCGCTTTCAAACGAGCCAACGCGTGATTCCTCAGCTCCTTGTTCAAAGGGAATCACATCACCTCTCAAATGCATCCGGAAGCAATTCCCTACACCTTTCAGCTTGACCAAAGTTTCAGCGTGTGGCAAAGAAATGGGTAAAAATGGTCTTAAAAGTACTCTTAGTAGTGTTGAGACCGGAGAGTCAAACCCGTGTGCGAGTCTCGAGCGCTCTGCTACTCCTTCCCCGAGCGACGGATCGTCCCTGACGGACTCGTCTTCTGGGACGGGGAGTGTTAGCCACTTCTTTGACCAGCATGTGTTGAGCACGCTAGAGAAAGCCAAGAGGAAGCTGTCCCACAAGAGCCTGCTGGTGTGTGGCCGACCCAAGGGCTTCTACATCAGTAGACCCCCCGAGAGTCCTCCATCTCCCGCTGACCGTCCAGAGACCTCCTCTCCTCTGAAGAGCAGCAGAGCGGCACACAGTGAGTCGCAAACTCTGCAGTCTTTCACACGGATGCATACGGCACCGGTCCAAACTATACTGTTTCTAAATGGCGTATACTCATCAAGCCTGCATTTATTTGATCAAAGTACAGAAAAAACGGTAATATTGTGAAATATTATTACAATTTAAAATAATGGTTTTCTATTTTAATATACTATTGTGGTGAAAATCCAGCTTTTAATGTTGTTTATGTGTCTATGTGGTGTTTTTAATACGCTTTAAGACAAGCCATGTGTACTAAATTCATAAGTCGACAGCATTGCTGAGTATTTTCTGCTTAAAACCAAAGACAGTCTCAAAAAACACGGTGTGAAATCGCTGGTGTTTCTGACGTCACAAACGACCTTGTAACCAATCAGATCAACGTGTGATCGTCAACCAGTGGATCTCTGAGCTGAGCGAGTGAGTGGAGGCGGGGCTCATTTGCATATGCATAGAACCGCGCATACTAAATGAGGCAAGGGTGTCGAGTTACATTCAAGATATTTTAAGGCATGAAGACTTAAATATGTTATTTTGGTGATCAAAGATGAGTTTTCAGCATCATTACGCTTTAGTCTTTTTCTTTTTTTGAAAGAAATTAATACTTTTATTCAGCACGGATGTTAAATTGATCAAAAGTAAAGATTTATATTGTCTATTTTGAATAAATGCTGTTCTTTTGAACTTTTTATTCATCAATGAATCCTGAAAAAAGTATCACAGTTATAAAGAAAAAATATTAAGCAGCACAATGTTTCCAACATCGATGATAAATCCTCATATTAGAGTGATTTCTGAAGGATCATGTGACACTGAAGACTGGAGTAATGATGCTGAAAATACAGCTTTGATGACAGGAATAAATTATATTAAAAAGTATATTAAAATAGAAAACCATTATTCGAAATTGTAATAATATTATGTTTTTTTTTCTGTATTTTTGATCAAATAAATGCAGAGACTCTTTTTCAAAAGCATTAATAATAGTAATGTTTCCAAACTTTTGACCTGTACTGTATGAACTCAACAGTTTCACTGTGCATGATACGAGCTGTGAAGTTAAGGCTGTATTGGTCCTGTGGAGGCTGTCCTGTTAGTTCGTGAGTGCATCTGTGATTGACACATGCCTGTGTGTGCCGTAGCCGCTGTGATGGAGCTCGGCTCAGTCCTGCAGACCGGAAGACCACGCAAACCTCTCCCTGACCCCGCGTCCCTCGGGCCGGGGCCCTCGAAGCCGCCGCGACCCCCGCGTGTGGACCTCCACAGGCACAAGGCTGCACGACACGGCACTGGAGCGCTCACTGCTGGTTTGTACAACTTCTTTCACACACATCACTACTTTTGAGCTTTTTAGAGTTGATTTTTGTGCATATAGCAATTTACCTCAGTACAACAATAACATGGTTAAAGCTATGAGAAGTAAAATTAGGGGATATTCATTCATATTCATGATGAAGCGCTCTGACTAAGAGGAATTATTCAGGTTTTTAAAATGTTTTTGAAAGTCTTTTTTCCTTTTATTTATATATTTATATATATATATATATATGTGTGTGTGTATATACTATCAGTGATACTGGCCTTCATTCTTAAAAATACGTCATTACACAAGTATTTAAAATATACTGTGTGTTGTTTCTACATTTATTTGGAGATTAATTATTGCATAATAAAATATATAAAAAACGTATAAAAAGTTAATTGTTCTTAATTGCAATTAATCAGAAAAAAATTAAGTTTAAAAAAAAAATATGTTTATATTCTGCTTTGATCACAGGAATAAATTAAATTTTAGATATAGAAAAATTATTTTAAATTGTAATATAATTTCACAATATTGCTGTTTTTACTGTATTTTTGATCAAATAAATGCAGGCTTTCAAAAACATAAAAAAACTCCTTAACTGATAACTGACTGGTAGTCTATATGTCTGTGTGTGTGTGTATATACACTACCGTTCAAAAGTTTGGGGTCAGTGAGAATTTTATTTTTATTTTTTGGAGGAAAGAAATCAATACTTTTATTTATCAAGGAATAATTAATTTGATCGAAAGTGACAGTAAAGACATTTATAATGTTACAAAAGATTCTAACCCTAACCCTATTAATCAAAGAATCCAAAAAAAAAAAAAAAAAAAAAAACTGTACAACTGACAGACCAACAACTGTTTCAACATTGATAATAATAATAAATGTTTCTTGAGCATCAAATCCTCATATTATACTGATTTGTGAAGGATCATTTGACACTGAAGACACTGACACTGGTGATGCTGAAAATTCAGCTTTGATCACAGGAATAAATTACACTTTACTATATATTCACACAGAAAACAGCTGATTTACACTGGAATAATATTTAATACTATAACTGATTTTTGTTGTATTTTTAATCAAATAAGCGCAGCCATGGTTAGCAGAAGAGAATTCTTTTAAAAGTATTTAAAATCGTACCGACCCCAAACTTTTGAACGGTAGTGTATATATATATATATACACTACCGTTCAAAAGTTTGGGGTCGGTACGATTTTAAATACTTTTAAAAGAATTCTTATTGCAGCTCATCCACCCAGAATGATGTCCGTTCGGGAGCTGGTTTCAGTCTTGTTCTCTGTTTTCCCAGAACCGGAGCCTGAGGTTTCTGCCCCCGCTGATGCGCCACTAGAGGACACGAGTTTACCTCCTCCCGAATTCCCCGATTTTGACGTGTTTGCGGCAGAAGCGGCAGACAGCGACGCCATCGACCTGGCAGCCCTGGAGCTGGAGGCCACAGAGTTCCCCGACTCCTTGCCAGAGGAACACAACGGCCCGGTCACATTTTCCCCCGGGGACGCCGGCGCACAGGACACGCCGTCAGGAGACGCTCTCGCTCAGGCCACCAGCGCAGCCGTCTTGGCCACCTCTGACCTCAAGATGAACGGATCACACACTGAACACCAGCAACCAGTGTAAACCTTTCATTTGTCTCATTATGTGGGATCTTCTGGAAATATGAATTAAAAATGGTAAATTGTATCCTTCCCTCACGGGTCAAAATGAGCTGAAGCCCTAAAATTATACTATTTATTTAGTTTTTTGTCCAGAAAGCTTATTTTATTTCATTGTGATATTATTTTTTATTTTTCTTATTTTCTATTTTATTTACCTTTAAATCACTTTGATCAATAAATAAATACTAATTTTAGCACATTCCTCACATTCTTTCAACTTAAATTCAAAATAACTCACAATTTCATGCATAACCCTTTTAATTCAGCTCAAAATATCTTTTTATTGGATGTCTTTGCCTACCTAATAATATAATATAATAATGTAACCTGATATTTTATGACTCTTGCCACTAGAGGGCCTTGTATCTCTAAATGGAGCAAATGAGCTGTTCCTCTGGGTCCTACAGTCAGTTTCTCTTCAGTGTGCATTCAGATACACATGTAGACATTATACATTAATTTTTTTGGTAAAGTTTTAGCATTTTTAGCATTTTTCTATGTGTACTGAAGCATTCCTCGCATTCATTCCTATGGGGGTCAAATTGAGCCGTGAGCGAAGGATTGTGACTTTTATTTTTTTTTAACCACAAAACTCCTCAAATCCATAATTTTGTGTGTGTGTATTCATGGATCAAGTGCGACAAAAGTCCTGGGGTCTTAGACCCCTCTCATGAACACTCAAAAAAAAAAACTTTCGGGTCAGAATGACCCGAGGGAAGGATGAGAGTTCGGTTTAAACTTGTATCTTTAATATCGCCATGTAATTTTCTCTATAATGCGATAGATCAGACTTCATCTCATCAATATGTTCTTCTTTTGCCCTCAGTTTTTCCAAGGAAAGGCGTTTGCATGGGACATTTGACAATGTTTACGAGGATGTGGAGACTGTTCCCAAATTTTCTTTTGCTCAAAACTCGTTCAAGAGTAAAGCAGCTCCTAAAAGTGAGTATTATGCTAGCAGTGCATCTCTAGTCAATGGGTGGAGGACAATGACTGATGCGCTTTCTCCTTCAGACCCATATGCGGATAACGGCCATGTGGTGAGCGATTCTTTCTTATAATTGCCATTTATTTAAGAATTGCTAATTTACGTGAAAGATTATGTCTGATATATCATGATAGGTACTTGAAAAGATACTCGGAAACATCCTTAAACTGGTGTTCATGGAAAGCCTGTTCTGGGAATCCTGGACGAAGTGCTAATGCTGTGAATGTGTCTTTGCCAGATTGAGCAATGCTAATAATGATGTACATTATTTATATTGATCTCTTGATTTGTTTGACAGAAAGAAGAGACTTGGAAGAATATATGGCATGTCCCTCAGTGGTTTGTCAGCACTTGTTTTCTCTGCTGTTGTCAAGAAACTCATGATAAATGTTGTTTTCAAATGCTGTAAAGACTACACTGCAAAAAATGCTTTTCTTAGTATTGTTTCCAGTCCAAATATGCCTAAAAATATACCAGTCCAAATGTACTACTCATCTGGTAAATGCACCCCATTTACTGTAGGTATTACTAGATGACTAAAATGGCAGAAAATACTGTATTGTGTCTTATTTTCTGGGGAAATAATCCAAATCAAGTGAGTTTTTGCTTAAAACAAGCTAAGTTATCTGCCAATGGGGTCAGAAAAATAATCTTAATTCAAACAGAAACTAGATTATTTTTTCTTACCCCTTTGGCAGATAATTTTGCTTGTTTTAAACAAAAACTCACTTGATTTTGATTATTTCCCCAGAAAATAAGATATAATATCTTACTGCATTTCACTACTTTAGTAAATGCCTCGTGAATTAAGATCTTTTTTTATATTTGGACTGGAAACAAGACAAAAATACAGAGTGAGAAAAGTATTTTTTTGCAGTGCAGACTTTAGTTTGTGTTGTTTTCCCCCTCACGGTGTGAAGGTCTAATGCAGCTGAAGATCACAACGGCCACAGTCATCACGAAAGGTATCATGATATCTGTTTTCTGACTGAAGGTTCATTTACTCTACTGTAATCTGTGAAAACTAAATCTCATTGGGAAGAAATGCCATCAAAGAATCTAATGATAAACTCAAAAACACATGAGGGAGGACAAGATTGTGAAGAAATGGAGACTTAAATTTAGCTAGGTTTAAATTTGAGAACAACGTGTTGATGTAAATTATGAGAAAACATGCTTTATGGGTTCCTCAAGTAAGAACTAGTATTCATTTTCTCCAAATGATGAATGATTTTTACAGAAACCTTATAAACCTTTAAATTCAGCCCTGCTGTGAGCTACGAGGAACGTGATTTTGTTTTTTTCTCACACGGTAAATTTTACTATTAACTAAACAACACATTGTCACTATCCACGATACATATTGTTGGATTTTTGTATCGCGATATATTTTGACAGGACATATTGTTACACCCCTACATTATATGAACCCTTGTCACAGAAGCAGAAGTAGTCACAGTTGTACTATAGTTTTTTGTTTTATATATACACTCACCGGCCACTTTATTAGGTACACCTGTCCAACTGCTCGTTAACACTTAATTTCTAAGCAGCCAATCACATGGCGGCAACTCAGTGCATTTAGGCATGTAGACATGGTCAAGACAATCTCCTGCAGTTCAAACCGAGCATCAGTATGGGGAAGAAAGGTGATTTGAGTGACTTTGAACGTGGCATGATTGTTGGTGCCAGAAGGGCTGGTCTGAGTATTTCAGAAACTGCTAATCTACTGGGATTTTCACGCACAACCATCTCTAGGGTAGTGAAGACTGGAAAAATGTTGCCTGGTCTGATGAGTCTCGATTTCTGTTGAGACATTCAGATGTTAGAGTCAGAATTTGGCGTAAACAGAATGAGAACATGGAACCATCATGCCTTGTTACCACTGTGCAGGCTGGTGGTGGTGGTGTAATGGTGTGGGGGATGTTTTCCTGGCACACTTTAGGCCCCTTAGTGCCAATTGGGCATCGTTTAAATGCCACGACCTACCTGAGCATTGTTTCTGACCATGTCCATCCCTTTATGGCCACCATGTACCCATCCTCTGATGGCTACTTCCACCATGTCACAAAGCTCTAATCATTTCAAATTGGTTTCTTGAACATGACAATGAGTTCACTGTACTAAAATGGCCTCCACAGTCACCAGATCTCAACCCAATAGAGCATCTTTGGGATGTGGTGGAACGGGAGATTCGCATCATGGATGTGCAGCCGACAAATCTGCGGCAACTGTGTGATGCCATCATGTCAATATGGACCAAACTCCCTGAGGAATGCTTCCAGCACCTTGTTGAATCTATGCCACGAAGAATTGAGGCAGTTCTGAAGGCAAAAGGGGGTCCAACCCGTTACTAGCATGGGGTACCTAATAAAGTGGCCGGTGAGTGTATATTGTCACTATAGAGCTCAACAGTCGGGTTTCCCAAGCAAAAACTCTATCCATTTTCTCCATAGGGAAATAGATTTTTAATGATAGCTTATAAAGCTTTAAATTCAGCCCTGCTGTGAGTTACGGGGTTGTTAATCGATGGTATTTGCTTCTGTTGAAGCCGTCAGTCCACATTATTTCAGCTTATTTTTAAGATTGTATGGTGGTGAAAACTACATTACCCATGATGCTGTGCAGAAAATTACACCAATCAGAGTCTCGAAACCATAGACTGTAAAAAAAAAAAAAAGGCTCGAAACAAGCAAAACTCACCAAAGGATCCGGCCAGTTCTATGAAGCATCGAGTTCCTACGCTATTAAGATATTTATATATTCCAATATACATGCGCATTTTGCAATAAACTTAAAATACATGGTGTGTGAGTATTTTTTTCACAATATTTGAAAGTAGTTTTATATTAATTTAATATTAATTCAGTTATGCTGTCTGCAATGCTTCATGGGATTGTAGTTCTTTCTCACTGAAGCCGTTAAGTTCACGGTCTTGTACTTTTTGTACTTAGTGTTTTTGCTTCAAATGAAAGTTTGTAATGTGATTCTCGAAGCTGGTTGGTTTGGTTCATGGCTTATAACGCTTTAGCGAAGACTTTAAAAAAAATCCCTATGGGAGAAATAAATGAAGAAAATACTTCCGTAACCAGCGCCGCTAAAAAAGCGGGCGCTAGTGCACACTATAGTCATGACAATAGCTCATCGGGACTGGTTATAGTACGGTCACATGGCCTTCGGCCTAGCCATGCAATGCCATTAGATTCATTGGTCTTGTACATCAGGTTTAGTTTTCTGTGACACACTTTTTTTCATTGTTTCAAATTCTGTTGATTTGTCACAACGATATTATCTAGGAGTATTGCTGAATTTGCAAAAACTACTTGTTATAGTCTCGCAAGATTCGGTAAGAATGTGTTTTAATATGTATCAGTCAGCAATGTTTTGCCTTGTTTTCCATCATTTTCCAGCAAAAGTGTGTTTATGAATTGAAGTTATTGGAGTAAAAATATAAATATCTTAATCTTAATAATAAAATATCAGGCTTTTGTGTTGAGGCCAGTGAAAATGTTGTCTGAGCAAAGAAAAATATATAATTATTACTTTAAAATAACTGGATTAATTTCAATTATATTAAATATGATTATTTTATATCTTATAATTTCTCATTATTGGGAGTTTTTTCACTTGGACATGAGATTTACGCTTCTATGCGTAACTTGTAACATGTAAATGTTTCATTGCTAAAAACACAGCCACCATATTTACCAATTGAGACTGAGCAAAGCTTGTTCCTCATAGAAACTGACCTGCTAATAAAATGTGTGTTTGTTTCAGAAAGAAGATGCTGAGCCCTGAACACCAGGAGGATAAAGAGCTGAAGAAGAAGGAGAAGCAGCGTCTGGAGAAGGAGAAGAAAGAGCAGAAAGAGAAGGACAAAAAGAGAAACATGTTGCACAAGAAATTTAAAGTGAATTCAGATGCATAACTTAATATAGATATAGTTTCAAACTGACTGGTGTTTACTTTAAAGATGGATCGCACACGCTCACTTCTCTAGATGGCGTTTGCTTTGATCTTTAATGTAGTGACGTACATTAGTGTAACTTCTCCAGGTCCTGATATATTTCCCATGTTCCCCAATAGATCACCGGACTGGAAGAGCCCATGTATCGCGCCCGAGTGCTGGCGGCCAGCAAACTCCGCAAATACGACCTGCCCGTCAAAAGTGGGGATCTCATCAGCATCATCCGAACGGTCAACTGCCCCAAGGGCAAATGGCTGGCCAGAGACGCCAACAACAAATGTGAGAACATCTTCTCGTCATGGCTTATACTGTAGCAGAAACTGGATGTGTATTCTTTTCCCTCCCCACTCCTTAAAGGGGTCCTGTAATGCCCTTTCACAAGATGTAAAATAAGTCTCTGATGTCCCTAGAGTGTGTATGTGAAGTTTTAGCTCAAAATACCCCACAGATAATTTTTTTATAGCATGTTAAAATGGTCACTTTTTGAGGGTGAGCAAAAACGTGGTGTTTTCGTGTCTGTCCCTTTAAATGCAAATGAGCTGCTGCTCCCGGGACAGAGGGCGGAGCTTCAAGAGCTTGTGTGTGTGTGTGTTAGTAGCTCCGACTACCTCACACACACACGCACTGAAAATATCAAAAACTTTTAGCCTTTTATGTTTAAACCGGAGTCGGACAAAAATGAAGAGACTCAAGAAGGACGTTTCTGAATGGTTAGTTGCTGATGTGGAGTTAACAGTCTTCTAGTCATTGATTAGCATATTCTGTCATGGTTATCTATGAGTCGTGTTCCCGGGGTCGGGGATTATCTAAGCAATATCAATGAGAACAAACATATGTTTACGTTGCCAAGAGTGGTTGCTAGGGGTGTTGTGTAGTGATGCATAGAGCCGTTGGGTGAAGCGGTTATAGCTGTGTTTTATCATGAATAAAACACAGCTATTGACCAATCAGAATCAAGGACTGGAACTAACCGTTTTATAAGTAAATTTTGCAGTTGGTGATGTCACTAACCCGGGAGGAAGCTCGTGTAGTCCCTACCAGCCGTTTGTTGTAGTCCTTATAAAGAGATTTCTGTAAAAGCAAATATCTCCCTTTGCTCTGAACTTTGTGTGTCGTGACTTTGCAGATGTTTATGCTCAAACAGCAACATTACACACTAACTAAAGTTAGAAAAGTGAACTCATAATCAACCACCCCTTAATGATAAATTAAAGTAAAGTTGACCACTTTCTGAAAGTCATCCCAGTGTCCTAGAAAATCTCCTTCAGGATTTACTGTGAAAGCGCTGTAGTTTCTGAGGCTTTGACAGGAGACGGTCTTCCTTCTGCTGTGGTGTGTGCAGACGGCTACATCTCCGTGATGAATGTGGAGTTGAACATTAAGGAGATGCTGGAGCTGGGGAAGAAGGCGTCGCAGGCCGCCGGACGAGGCCAGGCCGATGGAGATAACCTCAGCTTCAGCAGCAGGTAAGAGGAAACAAGCTCTCGGCGGACAGCATATCCATACCCAGACACACTCGATGACATCATGCATATGAAATAAAGCTCAGTTAACCATGGATTGGCAACTAGGGGTGTTACGATCAAAGACTAATGATACGATGTATTGATGCAACACCTTTATTCTGACGCTCGGCGTCTCTGGCTGTGTTTACACTGGCACAAAAAAATCCTATTTTTTACACACATCTGACACATCGGAGTTTGTTGCTCACATGTAAACGCACAAATATGCACGATTTTTTCACAGCGACCAATCACAGCGCTTGCGGTTCGCGTAGAATTGACGCGTTGTTACAATTTTGGAGAGGTGCACGTCAGGGTACGCTGAAGCGCTACACAGCCTACGACGTAGCTACGGCGTGCGTTCGACGCAGAAGTATAAATTGGGCTTTACGCGTGTAAAAAATTCCTGCGGCACGATTCACGAATGAGGCGTAGAGCGCGGTGCGGTAGACGCGAATACGCCTCATTCTCGCGTCAAGTTCGTGCGATTTGAGTGTCTCGCGCGTTATGCGCAAATTATTTTATTAAGTGCTTTTTGTGCATTCATGCGTTTGACGCGAATTCGCGTCTGCCGCCAGAGTTGAAAAATCTAAACTTTGGCGTCAATTCGCGCCGCGTTAACCAATCAGGAGCCTAGCTGCTTTCTGCTGTCACATGGTGAAGTATCTGGATGCTTCAATAAATTATGTTGTAATATGACTAAATGCCTGGTGTGGTTCTAATGCACAACAAAGCAAATATTTTATCACATAAAACTTGATTTCAATATATGAGACATTCATTTTGTATTGAATGCTATTTATTCCATATCTAGATTATATGAAATATTATTATAATGTAAAGACAACCAACATAATATAGTGCATTCGTGTCTGGACAGTGTTGTGTGAGAGAGAAAAAATCACAGGGGGGTTAATCACTTTTGGAGGCTGGCTCCATTTATCATCAACACAAAAATAAATTACATATTAGGTGTGTGAGGGCGAGGGTGATCCTCGCTCCGATGCGGGACAACAGGTTCTCAAACTGGGCGCAGGACAGGCGGAAGTACCGCTGAAAGCGGCTGTCATCCAGACGCAGCTCCTGGAGCGAGCAAATGGTGAAACTCGCCAAACTGGGTTCGCCTCCGAAGGGTCTGGTGGACACAAATACGGCGACGATGACCCCTACGCCGCTGTTCTGCTCTCCAGAGCAAATACAGAGCGGTGACTCTCCCGATGAATGCTCGATCAAAATAAAAATAAAAATGGCCGCCAAGGGTTTCGAATCCGACGAATAGCGCGTCAAATTCGCGTCTAGTTTGACGCTTGACCACTTTGTGTTAATTCGCGCGTCAAGAGTGAAACTGACGCGCGTAAAAACAAAAGTTTGAAGAAAAATGTACGCGCGTCAGTTTCACTCTTGACGCGCGAATTAACACAAAGTGGTCAAGCGTCAAACTAGACGCGAATTTGACGCGCTATTCGCGTCCGGTGTGAACGCACAGTTAAGCTGTTGGCACATATTGAATAGCTGGCTAAGAGAATCGATTTTGTATCGTATCGCTACAAGCGTTCGATTTACACCCCTGTTGGCAACCTTGTGTTGTAAATCTGTATTAATTGACACCTGAGGAATAGTAGAATAGAAGAATAACTGCAAGATGAATATCCCGTGAAGCAAGATGAATATTCTGCTCTCACTGGGTGGATATGAAAGAGAAACTTTAAATTCTAGGATTCAAACGCTTTGTCTAGTTGCTGTGTCATGTTAATCTCATATTCACTAATATACAAATTATAAACAAATGATTTCATTATTTTATCAACACTGATTCATTTTTTTCAAATAATTTTAGTAAATTATATTTATTTGATTGCAGCAACGCTGTGCATGTATTAATTCCCATTGTTAAATTGTTTATCACACACATCAGCCATCGACCTGCTCTCTAAGATATGCACATCATGCATATATATAGGTTTACATTTGTGGCTATTATGTATAATCATTATAGCGAATGAAAAAAGTCAACATTCAAAAGTAATTCTGTGTCCGTAGATGTTGCGGTCTGAGCGTTCAGCTTCACGTTTGTCACCGAACTGAAGTGCTGTTTTAAATCTCATGATAGTAATATAAAGCTCAAAACAGACTCGTATCATAGACTCAAAAGACCTACTCGTATCATAGACTCAAAAGACCTACTCGTATCATAGACTCAAAACACCTACTCGTATCATAGACTCAAAACACGTACTCGTATCATAGACTCAAAACACCTACTCGTATCACAGACTCAAAACACCTACTCGTATCACAGACTCAAAACACCTACTCGTATCATAGACTCAAAACACGTACTCGTATCACACTCAAAACACGTACTCGTATCATAGACTCAACACACGTACTCGTATCATAGACTCAAAACACGTACTCGTATCATAGACTCAAAACACGTACTCGTATCACAGACTCAAAACACGTACTCGTATCACACTCAAAACACGTACTCGTATCATAGACTCAAAAGACATACTCGTATTATAGACTCAAATCACGTACTCGTATTATAGACTCAAAAGACATACTCGTATTATAGACTCAAATCACGTACTCGTATTATAGACTCAAATCACGTACTCGTATTATAGACTCAAAACACGTACTCGTATCACACTCAAAACACGTACTCGTATCATAGACTCAAAACACGTACTCGTATCACACTCAAAACACGTACTCGTATCACAGACTCAAAACACCTACTCGTATCACAGACTCAAAACACCTACTCGTATCACAGACTCAAAACACCTACTTGTATCATAGACTCAAAACACGTACTCGTATCACACTCAAAACACGTACTCGTATCATACACTCAAAACACGTACTCGTATCACACTCAAAACACGTACTCGTATCACAGACTCAAAACACGTACTCGTATCATAGACTCAAAACACCTACTCGTATCATAGACTCAAAACACGTACTCGTATCACACTCAAAACACGTACTCGTATCATAGACTCAAAACAACTACTCGTATCACAGACTCAAAACACGTACTCGTATCACAGACTCAAAACACCTACTCGTATCATAGACTCAAAACACCTACTCGTATCATAGACTCAAAACACCTACTCGTATCACAGACTCAAAACACCTACTCGTATCACAGACTCAAAACACGTACTCGTATCATAGACTCAAAACACGTACTCGTATCACAGACTCAAAACACCTACTCGTATCATAGACTCAAAACACGTACTCGTATCACACTCAAAACACGTACTCGTATCATAGACTCAAAACACCTACTCGTATCACAGACTCAAAACACCTACTCGTATCATATACTCAAAACACCTACTCGTATCACAGACTCAAAACACCTACTCGTATCATAGACTCAAAACACCTACTCGTATCATAGACTCAAAACACCTACTCGTATCACACTCAAAACACGTACTCGTATCATAGACTCAAAACACGTACTCGTATCACACTCAAAACACGTACTCGTATCACAGACTCAAAACACGTACTCGTATCATAGACTCAAAACACCTACTCGTATCATAGACTCAAAACACGTACTCGTATCACACTCAAAACACGTACTCGTATCATAGACTCAAAACAACTACTCGTATCACAGACTCAAAACACGTACTCGTATCACAGACTCAAAACACCTACTCGTATCATAGACTCAAAACACCTACTCGTATCATAGACTCAAAACACCTACTCGTATCACAGACTCAAAACACCTACTCGTATCACAGACTCAAAACACGTACTCGTATCATAGACTCAAAACACGTACTCGTATCACAGACTCAAAACACCTACTCGTATCATAGACTCAAAACACGTACTCGTATCACACTCAAAACACGTACTCGTATCATAGACTCAAAACACCTACTCGTATCATATACTCAAAACACCTACTCGTATCACAGACTCAAAACACCTACTCGTATCATAGACTCAAAACACCTACTCGTATCATAGACTCAAAACACCTACTCGTATCATAGACTCAAAACACCTACTCGTATCACAGACTCAAAACACCTACTCGTATCATACTCAAAACACCTACTCGTATCATAGACTCAAAACACGTACTCGTATCATAGACTCAAAACACCTACTCGTATCATAGACTCAAAACACCTACTAGTATCATAGACTCAAAACACGTACTCGTATCATAGACTCAAAACACGTACTCGTATCATAGACTCAAAACACCTACTCGTATCATAGACTCAAAACACGTACTCGTATCACAGACTCAAAACACCTACTCGTATCACAGACTCAAAACACCTACTCGTATCACAGACTCAAAACACGTACTCGTATCACAGACTCAAAACACCTACTCGTATCACAGACTCAAATCACGTACTCGTATCATAGACTCAAAACACCTACTCGTATCATAGACTCAAAACACGTACTCGTATCATAGACTCAAAACACGTACTCGTATCATAGACTCAAAACACCTACTCGTATCATAGACTCAAAACACGTACTCGTATCACAGACTCAAAACACCTACTCGTATCACAGACTCAAAACACCTACTCGTATCACAGACTCAAAACACCTACTCGTATCACAGACTCAAAACACGTACTCGTATCACAGACTCAAAACACCTACTCGTATCATAGACTCAAAACACCTACTCGTATCATAGACTCAAAACATGTACTCGTATCACAGACTCAAAACACCTACTCATATCATAGACTCAAAACACGTACTCGTATCATAGACTCAAAACACCTACTCGTATCACAGACTCAAAACACCTACTCGTATCACAGACTCAAAACACCTACTCGTATCACAGACTCAAAACACGTACTCGTATCATAGACTCAAAACACGCACTCGTATCATAAACACCTACTCGTATCATAAACACCTACTCGTATCAT